TGTGTGTGTGTGTGTGTGTGTGTGTGTGTGTGTGTGTGTGTGTGTGTAAAGCTCAGCTCCCTGGAATGAGCCATGTCCTGGGTGGGTACAGTGAAAACAGGCCATGGAAGGCCATAGAAGCCAATAGAAAGGAATCTGGCAGGCCCTCAGGTTCTTAAACAAAAACATATTCACTCCCCAATCCCATACTCCTTCCCCCCAAATTAAAAAGACCAGGAAAGACTCTTGACACCCCGTGGTCCTGGATTGGTGACAGGGATGACACCTTCCTGGGACTTGAAGCATGTTCCAAGCATCAGAAATCTGTGCTGGCCCCCTGCCTGAGGCCTGGCCCTCTCACAGCCTCTCACTTCTGAACTCTGACCAGCCACTAACACAATGCACTTCCCAAGAGGAACCTATCCCCCAGGTCCTGCTAGAACGAGAATTGGCCAAGCTGAGCGCGGAGCTGGACAAGGACCTGAGGGCCATTGAGACCCGCCTGCCATCCGACAAGGTACCAACCTCCACAGGGCTTCTAGAGGGAAAGGTTTAGCCACAGCAGTAGGGGACAGAGGGAAGCAGGGCAGACCTAGAAACTGGAGACCTTGGGCGGACTTTAAGCCTTCTACAAAACACTGGGTGTCGACTTTCTAAGTTACCCCACAAACCCTTCCCGGCCAACTCTGATTCAGTCCATCGGGTTCAGGGGGCTCCACCCTGCCAGGCCCCGCCCCTAGTTGCAGCCCCAGGGACCCCCAGACCCGACCCGGCCCTTGCTTCCCCTGCCGGCCTCCTTTCTCCTTGCCTCCTCCCTGCGAAGGCTCGCGCCCGCCTCTAGGACCCCGCGTCCCGCCCCTCTCCGGCCTCCTTCCCTCCCGAGCTGCGAACTTTTCCGGGGGAGGTGGCGGCACTGGCCTCGGCTGCCCTGGCCCCAGGGACCCAGGCTCTGATCACGTCCGGTGTCCCCACGCAGAACTCTCAAGCTCCACGATGGTCCTCTGAGCAGCCAGTCCAGGAGCAGCGGCCCTCCGCCCGGTGAGTGGCAGAGACACTGCCAGCACAGAGGGTCTGTTCCCGGGGGAGGGGACGTGGCGAGGGCCGGGAGAGGGGCTGATGGCCCTGCCCACGATGGGGGACGGGCGAACCCTAGAGGAGGGGCCTGAAGGTCTGAAAAGTGGCCTAGGGCCATCCCAACCGCACCTCTGCTGGGGCTTGTGTGCTCCCTTTGGGCCACCTGACCTAAGCCGAGGACTCAGGTGGCGGTGGCAGCAGCGGTGACGGCTGCGGATGGTGGGACCCGAGCCCCCGACAGTTTCCGTGTTTCCTCGTTTCCTTGGGCGGCCTCCTCGCCTCTCCTAACCCAAGGCCTCACCCTTCCCGGCCCTCAGCTGCACGGGAAGTAGGACATCCTGTTGAGAGTCCCGGACCTGGGAAGGACCTGGGAAGAGGCCTTGGGAGGCAGAGGACAGGATGAGGGTAGCAGGAGGGCCTGGCTGGGGCGGGGGGTCGGGTCAGTAAGGTATGTTGACTAGCCCTGAGGGATGTAAAGTTCCAGACAGGTGACTCACTTGAGCCTCTGTCCCTGCAGCCAGTCCTCAGCCTGGAGGCCCAGCTCCCCGCATGCACCCTCCTTCAGGTCTTCCCGACCCCTGAGCCCCCACAGAATGGCAGATGGAGGAGGAAGCCCCTTTCTGGGACGTAGAGATTTTGTCTATCCTTCCTCAGCCCGAGGTAAGACAAATCCTGTTTTTTGTTGGCAGTGAACCGCCTTTTCTACAGGTTCGGGAAGTTCTCTTACAGCTTATGTGGTGCACTAGGAAGGGGGGGGGGGGTGGGAAGGTCACAGAGCCCCTTGCTTCCCTGTGCCTAACCTGCCTAACCTAGCCCATCCCAACCCAATTCCCCGCCCTCCCCCTGCCCCAGACATGACCTCCCCAAGCTGAGGTGGTGCTTCTCCACAGAACCTAATGCCTCTGAAAGGGGTAGCAGCCCTGCGAGGAGAGAGGAGAAGAAGGTAAGAGAGTCCCAGGGTCAGGGGTCAGGGGTCAGGAAGTTGTCTGGGCAGGTCCCTGTCTGGCAGAGGTAGCCCACTCTGTCCTCTCTCCCTTACCAGAGGAAAGCTGCCCGGGTCAAGTTTGACTTCCAGGCTCAGTCCCCCAAGTAAGTGGCCTTCTCAGCCCTTGCCCCTCCATCCTGGGAAGTCTGCACCGGGCAGGGTAGGGAAGGACTTCAGTGGGCAGAAGGCTGGAGTGGGAGGTGGTACCCAGGACAGGGTCTGAAGGAGAAAGGTGAGGAAGCCGGCGGTGCTGTCCCCTGCAGGGAGCTGACTCTACAGAAGGGTGACATCGTCTACATCCATAAAGAAGTGGACAAGAACTGGCTGGAGGGGGAGCACCATGGCCGGCTGGGTATCTTCCCAGCTAATTATGTGGAGGTAAGTCGGAGAGGTAAAGGGAGCCTACTGGGAGGCGCCCTGGGTTGGGAGACACTTAAACTGTGAGGGCTCTGGGCTATCTCTCTCGAATGTCTCTGGCCTACATGTCAGCTGGTCCAGGCCACAGTCTGTCTCCCAGCCCAGGGGAGGATGAAGAGCCCCTGACCCAGAAGCCACCGATCCACTGGAGCCGCAGATTTTAGCTATCAGACTCCATCTTTCTATCGAGATCTCAAGTAGCTAGAATGTGAAATGTTTGACAGTTCACTTGTTGGTGTATCACTTGGTTCAGGTGTGTTACCTGCTTGCTTGTTCCCTACGCTGGCTGGGGAGTGATAATTATCTCTTCTGTGCTAAGCAGCAGAGTCATGTCTAAATGCAGGCTGAAACGTATAGGTTATTTTTAGTATCTGTGTCTTGGGTCATAGCTAACTAAGCCTCAGACATAAAGTTGTTTATCACATTCCCTTAAATTTTTAAATATTTGTTCTTGGGCTTAGAGAGATGGCTCAGTGGTTAAGAGCACTGTCTGCTCTTCCAGAGAACCCGGGTTCAGTTCCCAGCATCCATATGGCAGCTCACAACTGTCTGTAACTCCAGATCCAGAGGATCTGACACCCCCACATAGACATGAATGCAGGCAAAAGACCAAGGCACATAAAATAAAAAAATTAAATATTCTTGTATGTGTGGATATGTTTGTATGTGAAGGCAGAAACCTGCTATGGTGCATATCTGGAGGTCAGAGGGTGTCAATTCTTTCCTTCCTCCTTGAGGTAGGGTCTTCTGTTTGCTAATGCTGTGTCCGGCTTTTATATGGGTTCTGGGGGTCATCAGGCTTGTACCCTCGTTGAGCCACCCCCCGGCCCCGCAGCATTCTTTCTTGAACACTTGTGATGTAATGATTGTCCTCCCATTCCTTGTATTGCAGTTGTGTATCCTTTCATCTGGTTGTTAATTTTTCTCTGTTGTTGTTGTTTTCAGTTTCATCGTTAGTCTTCCATCATTTTACTTTTCTTGTTTAGTTTGTCAGAGAGAAAGTTTAGCCTGTCTTTTTTTTTTCTTTTTTCTTTTGACAAGAGTGGCACAGTAGTCCAGGCCAGACTAGAACTCACTATGTAGCCCTGGCTGGCCTCAAATTCATGATGACCCTCCTGCCTCCTGCTAGTTTAGGTGATTGATGATAATAGTATTTGATGCTATAACTTTCCTTCTAAGCACTGTTTTAGCTGCACAGATAAATAAATAAATACATTTTTTGTTGTTGTTGTTTTGAGACGAGATCTTATTATGTGGCCCTGGATATAGACTAGGTTAGTCTTGAACTCACAGCAATCTGTGTGCTTCTGCCTCCTAAGTGCTTGGAATCAAAGGTATGTGCCACCGGGCCTGACCAAATTGTGATGGTGATGATGATGATGATGATGATGATGATGATGATGATGATATTACTACTACTGCTGCTGTTATTTTTGCTGCTGTTTAACTTAAATTGTTTATCCATTTCCTTAGTGATTTCCTTTTGATAACTGAGTAGGCTGTTATAATTATTTAACAGATATCACAGCTAATGTCCACCCATTCATCTCTCTGTTTTCAATGGTTTTACTAAGTATATACAGTCATCTAGCCCATCAGTCATCTTCAGTTTAGTGTGAAATGGTCGATTAGCTTATTGATTTTTACGAATAGGGTCGATCCAGAAAGCATGGGGATTCAGAGCCCTGGTGGGGCCAAAGGGAAGAAGGGACCAAGACACTTGAACTAAGGGTCACTTGGCCCTCAGCAGTGGTAAAAGATGGAATAAATCGAGCCAGGCCTAGTGGCACAGGCCTTTAATCCCAGCACTTGAGAGGCAGAGGCAAGTGGATCTCTGTGAGTCTGAGGCTAGTCTGGTCTATATAGTGAGTTCCAGAACAGCCAGAGCTATACAATGAACCCCTGTCTTAAGAAAACAAATGTAACAACAACAATAATTTCCCAGTTTTAGAACAAGTTACTCTGCAGCTCAGAATCCTTGAGAGACTAGGAGTTAGACAGATTACCTGGTAGGTAAAGGGAGAAGGGTCATGGCTAGGTAACAAAGATGGTGAGTTTCCAAGATGTCCGGCTTCTTCCTCTCCCTCCTGACTGGAGACAAAAGCTTCAAACAAAGGCCTTGTAAGTCTTTGTCTTTCAAGCAGTCCCTCTGGATGAACTAGCTCAACAAGTTCATGGACTGGGCATATTACACAACAGTTGGGGGCCAATCAGCCATTTTAGTTTTCTTCAAGTTGACCAACCCTAAATCAGGGGAGGACGAGCTTTCGGATGCTTAAAATACCACAGCCCGCAGAAGAGACTGGATGTTTTGGTTTCCCTTGCAGATGGTCTTTTTCTTGCTGTGTCTGCTGCTTGTGTGTGTTTCCTCAGCCCTGATAAACACCTCTTGCCCCGGTTGTCCTGGAACACATTCTATAGACCAGGCTTACCCCGAACACACAAAGATCCGCCTGCTTCTGCCTCCCCAGTGCCAGGATTAAAGGTGTGTGCCACCACCACCCAGCTGCCTATTAATTCTTTAACTATCAGAGAAAATGAACCTGATCAAGACGTCTAGACTGTATGGCTTAGTCACTGTTCTACTGCTCTGAGGAGACACCCATGATCAAGGCAACTTTTCGTAAAAAAAAGTAGCTAATTGGTGGCTTGCTTACAGTTTTCAGTCTTTGCTCATTATCATCTTGGCAGGGAGAATGGTGGTACATATGGAGCTGGAGCTGAGAGTTACATCCTGATCTACAGGCAGTGTGTGTGTCTGTGAGAGAGAGAGAGACAGACAGACAGACAGACAACAGAGAAAAACAGAGAGAGACAAAATTACTAGGCCTGGCTTGAGCTTTTAAAACCTCAAAGCCTATTCCCAGAGATACCTTTCTCCCAACAAGGCCACACCTCCTCCTAATCCTTCTAATCCTTCAAATAGCAGCACTCCCTGGTGCTAAGCATTCAAATATATGACCCTATAGGGACGATTCTTACTCAAACCACCACACTGTATCACCTTCATTTGCTCTGTGGCCCGCCATAACGCTCTAGTTGGACTGGCTTCTCTCTTTTCATTCACCATCCTGCACATCTCCACCGAAAGCACTGAAAGGTCTTCCTCCAGCAAGCTTTCCTGGATGACCCATCTCTCACAGCCTGCCTGCACCGCCACTGCCATCTCCAAGGCTGCGTCTGCTTAGTGCCTGGATATGACACCTGACCAGAGGCAGCCTTGTTCATGATGCCCTCTGTGTTGCTCCCTCTTCCAGGAGGATGGGTGTGTATCCTGTTGGCATCTGTTCTGAATGTTTCTCTCGCCCGGCCCTCCCTGCAGGTTCTGCCTGCTGATGAGATCCCCAAGCCCATCAAGCCACCTACATACCAGGTGCTGGAGTATGGAGACGCTATAGCCCAATATTCGTTCAAGGGAGAGCTGGAAGTGGAGCTGTCCTTCCGAAAGGTGAGGCCAGGTAGGGGAAGACAAAGGGGATCCTGCAGGAAAAGAAAAAAAAAAAATGAACATTTAAAAAAGTATCAGTTGTACTCAGATTTTTAGTTAGATTTTGGTCGTTGTTGTTTTTTCCAATCTCTTGGAATAGATTACCCTTTTTTTTTTTTTTTTTTTAACCCCAGTACTGGTGACTGAACTAAGGATCCTGTCCATACAAGACAAGTGCTCTATTATAGCCCTCATTTTACTTTTAATTTTGAGACAGGGTCTTGCTAAGTTGCCCAGGCTAGCTTTGAACTTGCTCTATAGCTCAGGCTGTCCTTCAACTCACTCTGTAGCCCAGGCTAGCCTTAAACTCACTCTACAGTGCAGGTTGGCCTTGGACTCATTCTACAGTCTTGGCTGGCCTTGATCCCACTCTATAGCTCAGGCTAGCCTTGAACTTTTCATCTTTTTTATGTGTACAAGTGTTTTGCCGGCATATATGTGTAGCTCCCATGGAGTCCAGAAGTGAGTATCAGACCCTGAAAGAGGAATAGCATGTTTGTGAGCCATTGTACGGGTGCTGGAAATGGAACCCCAGTCCTCTGCAAGAACATCAGATACTCTTAGCCACTGAGTATCTCTCCATCCTCATAGCCTTGAACTTGTGATTCTTGCCTTAGCCTTCTAAGTAGCATGAGATTATAGCATGTGCCATGGCTTGGCCAATTTATCCCATTTTTGAAAGAGTGTTATGAACAGTGTCTCCCTCTATCATCCAGGTTGGGCTAGAATTCACTGTGGTAGGCCAGGATTTTCCAGAACTCACTGTAGTCCTCCTGCCTCAGCTGCCCAAATGCTAGGATTACAGGTCTGAGCCATCATGCCTGGCCCTAGCATTATGTCTTTAATCATCTGGTTGGTCAGCCATGAGGATCGTAATCTACACTTTTAAAGGAAACAGAAAGAAATTTTGTGTGTAGAGGGTACTGTATCAAACACCAGGCCCTTATGTGTGTACATACATGGGTGTATGTGGAATATGACTGACATGTATGTTTTGGTGAAGAAAGTTTTAGAAGTTTCTGTGAGATGAGAAACTGGCCTTCCTTTGATTAAATTTGGGGGCAGTCACCACAGATAGCCCTAATGAGTACCTCTAAGGAAAGCTGGCTCCAGAGATGGGCAGGGAAGGAGGTGGGGTGGGTGGCTGAGCAGGAGAGGACCGGGCAGCGACGGGTGGGGACATCCTCCTGAGGGTAGCCGGCTGACGTGATGGCAGTTCTAAAACCAGCTTCCATCAGCTCATCCTGAGAATGCCTTCCGCTCTGGGGGAGAGTCATAGGATGTGAGTTGGGGCAGGACTGTGGTAGCATGCTAAGATCTGCCCAGTGCTACCTAAGGCCACCTTGATTCGGTGTCTCATAGCAACAACAGTGGCTAGTTATACCACTTAACACACAAGGAAACCAAGCTCCGAGGGGCAGAGCAGCTTGCCCGAGGCCACACAGCTTAGACTTGGCACTGGGATTTGTATCAGTGTAATTAATGACTGGAGTTAGGGATTGATATTGTTCCCGGCTCCTCCGTTTTTAGCTGTGTGACCTTGGATAACCTACTGACCCTTTCTGAATGAAATGACCCAGGGAAGCCTGCCTCAGGTGTGTGATGCCCACGAGACCCCTGCTGACATGAACTCCTCTCTAACCCCTCAGGGGGAGCGCATCTGCCTGATCCGAAAGGTGAACGAACATTGGTATGAGGGGCGAATCACGGGCACAGGACGCCAAGGCATCTTCCCTGCCAGCTACGTGCAGATAAACCGGGAGCCCCGGGTCCGGGTCTGCGATGACAGCCCCCAGCTTCCTGCATCACCTCACCTGACAGCCGCGTCTCGTCCAGCCAGTCACTCCAGCTTCCCCTCAACAAGTGTGGACCCCACTGACTGGGGAGGTCGGACCTCCCCTCGCCGCAACATGTTCCCCTTCCCCATTACCCTCCAGGAGCCCAGATCTCAAACCCAGGTAAGTTGGCCTGCTTCTCACACTGTCTTCCTGTCCTCTGACTGGTCTAAAAAAATACACTGGTAAGCCTTCCTAGACAGCTTCTGGACAGAGACATGGAAAACTGGGCAGAACCTAGTCTGGTCCCATCTTGCTTTGGCCCCGTCCTCCTTGAGGCTGTTCTAATCTTTGATCATCCATCTCAGAGAGGCTTGGGCAGGACCAGCTGGCGTGACAGGCTAGACCTGACCCTCCAAGGTGCCATTATTTTAGTGGATATCTTTAGCAAAATAGTGCCTAGGTGTCAGAACTCTGGTATTTGCTTGCTGTGTGGCCCACAGGCAAGTGGCCGGTACTTTCTGGGTTTGGGTCTCCCTGTATAGAAAAGCAATAGTTCCCACTGGAGAAGACTGACGAGGTAGGTTTGAGCAAAGGTATTTGGCAGCCCTTCATTGTGCACTTGGCCCTGGGTCCACATGTTCAGCCAGCATGCCTCTCTGAGCAGGTACACCTGCTCCCTGCTCCTCCTCGGACCTGCTTTGCCCTTGCTGGTGTTCAGAAGTCCAGTTACTCTCCCTGCCTGGGGCCTGGGCCCACATCCAAGTTCCTCTGAAGTGATCTAGTTAAGCCCCACACTCCTGGGCCTGGGAGTTTGAGGAGACAGCATGAAAACCGGCCATCAGGCTCTGCTGGACTCCAGTCTACTGCTTCCCCCTCACACCTCTTTTTTCTGCCCTTCCTTTCTTCCCGTGAACCCCCAGAATCTCAGTACCCCGGGACCATCTCTGTCCCATCCTCGAGGCACCAGCCGTCCCGTAGACCTGGGGGCCTCCTCCCCAAGCACCACAGAGATACACTGGACTCCGTGAGTACCAGTGGAGGGTGCTTGCCTTGGGTAGGAGCTGTTAGCGGGCAATACAGATTCCAGGTCTTACTCTTCTTCACTCATAGGAAACTCCCAGGTAGAGCTAGTCTTTTGGTGCTTAGGTGGTGGGGGAGGGCAGGTCTGGGAAGGAGCCTAAGGCCTCTGGCTGCCATGCTGCCGTTTCCCACAGGTACCGGGCTATGTACCAGTACAGGCCCCAGAATGAGGACGAGCTGGAGCTTCGTGAGGGAGACCGTGTAGATGTCATGCAGCAATGTGACGATGGCTGGTTTGTGGGTATGTGGTCTAGGAAGGGGAGGGCTGGCCTGAAAGGAGGACCTCAGGGTCTCCTTGTGGATTTAAGTGGCAGTGTTGGATCCGTAAAGATTCAGAGCCAACATCCCCACCTACCCTCTGAATTGAGAGTGCCTTTCTTCCTGTCCTGACCAGTGCAGACTGCCTCAGTGTGTGCTTGGTGAGAGAATCACTCTTGGGACAGGATTTCTGACCCCCAGGCCACTGTTCCTTCCCTCTGCTTACCACTGCTTCCTCAAGCCGGTCTCACATCCCAGCGTCCTCCACCCTGCCCCCTACCCGCTCCCACAGCCTGAGAAATAATTGAAGATCTCAGCCAGCCTGGCAGTGGTGGTCTATGTCTTTAATCCTAGCACTTAGGAGGCAGAGACAGGCAAGTTTCTGAGTTTGAGGCTAGCCTGGCCTGCAGAGAGAATTCCAGGACTGCTGAGGCTGCACAGTAAACCCCTATCTCAACGTCATCCCCATCCCACCCATAAAAAATCCTACTGGCCTAAGATATCACACTTTACGATTTAAGACCTAAAGCCTCATGCTGATCTTGTCTGGTGCTAGCTGACTCCCTAAAATAGGCAAACCTTGTATACTCTTGGCTTCAAAGGATAGGTAGACCATGGAGAGAAGTGAATGGCTCGAAGCCCTGACTTCTAACAAGCAGACTTTGGGGCCCAAAGGACTGAAGCGCTGCCTGGGCCGAGGTGGCCATAGGAACAGGCCCTTGGTAATCCAGTCTTCCTTTTCTAATCTGACTCGCAGTGGCTCAGTGCCAGTCCAGCTTCTCACACCACGTCAGCGGTCCTCAGTTCTTGTTTTAGTCATGCTCTTTTGCTTTGGATCTTTTTTTATACCACGTATGACGCTTTGTGCACTTCTGTAGACAGGAAGAAAAAGCAATCTTTCTGTGGCAGAAGCCGAAATGCTATGGGGAATGGCTTGGACCTGTGCTGTCTGATGGTATCCAATAGCCACTTACGTGTAGATGAGTTAAAAAGAAAGAAAAGGAAAAGGCCTAGGCCCTTCTATGTACTAGTGCATTTCAAGTACATTTCCTTTCTCACTCCAGAACATGTGCTTCTGCCAGTGTGTGTGTGTGTGTGTGTGTGTGTGTGTGTGTGTGTGTGTGAGCCTTGTGTCCATCTTTGAGTTGAAGCTGCTCTCCTATATCAGTGGGTTCCTCCCCGTAAAAGGTCTGTGGTTCGTCTTCCCAATTCCTGGTTTTCTCAAAGAAACATGGAGTTAGTGCTGTGTGCAGAGTTGCCTTCATTGGTTGGTTTGGAAGTGTAGCTTTGCTTGTACCGCTGGGGGCGGGGGCAGGAAGGAGAGGAAATCAAGTCCTTTCTCCGAGAACCCAATTCCACTTGCAGTTCCAGATACTGTCAGCGGAGGGCGCACCCTAACCCGCATTATGTGTCTTTTTCCTTTTTCAGGAGTCTCCCGGAGAACTCAGAAATTTGGGACATTCCCTGGAAATTATGTAGCCCCTGTGTGAGTGGTCTCTATGGCAGTTTGGAGCCAACGAGGATGGGGTGGGGAGCAGTAGCACTATGGGAGGGAGAAAGGTCCCCCCACATCCTCTTCCCCCAGGACCTGTGCTCCCAGCATCTGCAGAGACCCCAGCAACTCTCCCTCCAAGCCCCCTGGAAGTCCCCTGGACTGATTCCCACCCGCAAATCACAGGCATTCCTTTGACAGCCTTCTTCACCACCCCTCAAATACAGATGTCTGCTTTCATGTGGAGACTGTCTCCAGGCCTTATTGAGACCAGACCCCCAAGCCTCCATCCCCCAGCATTTCCCCTAATGGGGACTGGCTCTCACTTCACCCCCATGGGGTTCCTCTAATAAGAACCAGCCTCCTACCCTGGTGGAGACCAAAGGCCTCCTCCCATTTTTCACCAGCTTGCCTGCTTCCACTTTGCCTTCTGGCCTCCAGCTGGACCTAGACACAAGGTGGGGAACACCTTCTCAGCTTTCAAGGTCCAGTGAGAGGCCTTGCCTCAAGGCTTCCTCCTCCCAGAGGCTACTGAGCCCCTGGGTAGGGCCTCCCCGTAAAGCCCTAACAGACTGAGGCACACAACTGCCCTGGCCTAACAGAAGGTAGATTTACAGGGACACTTGCTTGCTGCCCTAATTCCCAGCTCTTTTCCATGTCCAGGTCCACTCTGGAAGAGAATGTAAAATAAACACGGATAACAAGAACCCGCCTGCATCATTTTCTTTTGGGTGGGTGTAAGAGGTCTACCCCTTTAGGACTGTGGGATTCCTTCCTGTCATGGGTTGTGGTTCCAAGTATGTGGGCCAGCTGTATGGAAAGGGGAGTTAAACACCAGTCTCCTGTCTCAGCAGGGGTGACAAGCAGAGTGGAGCAACCCCAAGGACCAGGTATCTGATCAGAAGTGCTGAGAACTAATGTCAGTGGGTACAGGGCAAGGCCTGAAGAGTCCAGAGCTGGGGATTGATGTGTGTTCTTGATTCTAGAGCTGTTACCGAGAGGTTGATGATTCTGATGATATTTCTAACTATTCCCCAGTAATGTTTTCCTTTCTGTGTTCCATTTCCACACCAAACCCTTGTGTTTTTCTTCTCAGGGCTCAGGTCTTTGCGCCTTCAGTTTGGGGAAGCTGGGAGTGGGTTGGGCAGAGGTAACCTAAGTAATTCTTCTCTCCCAAGGGCTAGGTGACCTCTGGGGACATTAGCAGATCCTGGGCCCAGCCTTTCCTCCAGAAAAGGAAAACTCCATTCTCGTTCGTGTTGAGTCAGGGTCTTCCTCTTTGACCCAGGTTGGCCTGGAACCGTAGGTTTAAAACTCCTGCTTCAGCCTGCACTAGAGCCACCACACCCGCTGATAGGAAGCTGTGGCTGACAGTTGAGCAGGCAGGAAAGGTACTACACACGTCACCTCACCTAAACAGTAGACTCAATGAAGGTCGGAGTCAGCTCAACCTCATCTACCGAGCGCCCTGCAGTCCTAGTCCAGAGGCTCCTGGAGGAGGGGAAGCATGTAGGATGACTTTGGGATGGTCTAGGGTTGGGCTGCCTCTGTGTTCTTCCTGGTACTCCTGTCTCCTCGGCCTGCCACTTAAGGTGTCCTCACCTGAGGTAAACAGGTAGAGCTGGTGGCCGACATGGAGAATGGTGTGCCTGGTTTCGTCAGGACGGGGGAAATCCTACGTGCACAGGGCAGTGGCCTGGCCCTGGCTGGCTCCTTGAGCCTGGGTGTGGCTTGGACCCCAGCCAGCCAGGGTGGTTAAACAGCTGCTTGCAGAACTAGACCTGAGTGCCCTTATGCCCTCCTCCATTCAGTCACTGCACCCAGTGCTCATCTTGGTATGGCTCTAGACTGGCAAGTCCAGCCCATTCTTGTCTAGGAGTGACAACTCTCTAGGGCCCTGCTGGCCTGCCTTTGATCCCTCATCCTCTCTTGTTTTATGTTCCTTGGTGCCCTCATGAAACAGTCTAGGGTTGAACCCCCCTCCCCCCACTGGATAGAAACCAAACCTTCTCTTTGATGAGGCCCTGAAAACTCTCTCACAGCCACCAGGCAGGTCTGTGAGGTGGCCACTTTGGCACCTTGGCCTGATGAAGAGAGCCAGAGGCTCTGGGGTGGCCCACCTGTCAAGCAGGTGAAGGGTGTGACTTGTGCCAGGGGCAGAATCATTTAGAGCAGGACAGGTCCTACCTGCAAGCCAGAGTCGTGCTCATGGTCAGTTGATTCTGCAGCAGGGAGGCCTGAAAGTTGACCTGGATGTGATTGCAGAGCCTGGCTGAGGCATCCTTAAGGGTCACCAAAGATGGTCTGGCACAGTACCTGGCACACTGTGGGTGATCAATAAATACTTGCTAGTGAATATTGTTTGAATCATTGATTGGATGAGATGAAGGTGAATTCTTTTCTGTTGCCTCCCCTCCCTACCACGTCCTTCAACCTTTCTGCTTTGTAATCCTTGAACTGCTCCTATGGGAAAGCATCTGCGTAGCAGGAGAATCAGATGGACATCACTTCATGGGGAAAATGAGGCCCCTGAAGAGCTGTGGAAACTGCCTGTCCTGGTTTTGTTTCTCTGTTGCTGTGATAAAAACACTGTCATGGTCAGGGCTTCTACTGCTGAGGGAACATGACCAAAAGCAACTTGGGAAGAAAAGGGTGTGCTTCAGCTTACAGTTCCACATCACAGTCCACCATCAAAGGAACTCAAGGCAGGGACTGAAACAGAAGCCATGGAGGAACACGGCTTAATGGCTTGCACAGCCTGCTTTATTTTTACTACCCAGGACCACCTGCCAAGGGATGGCACCGCCCACAGTGGGCTGGACCCTCCCGATTCCATCAGCCATCAAGGAAATGTCCCTACAGGCATGCCCACAGGACAGTCTGAGGGAAACATTTCCTCAGGTGAGGTTCCCTCTTTCCAGATAACTCTAGTTTGTGTCAGGTTAGCACACTGCCCAGCATCACACCGTTAAGGGCAGCTGTGGCACTTGAGACTAGGACAATGTGACCCCAAGGCGGTGCCTTCCCTCCCTGAGGTCTGCTCAAGAGATTTTCAGGGGACTGAGGGTGGGGACTGAGGGTGAGTCCATAGAAGTCTAGGACCCTGTGTTCAATCGCCAGCACCAAAACAAACAAACAGAAAAGGCTTCCAGCCTAGCTGGGGAGGAGAGAGCAGGTGCAGCAGACAAGTTGCCCCTTAGGGAAGCCCCTGGAATTAGTGTATGGTAGAGCCATTTACCTGCCCAAGAGGAGGCTGTGGGAGGTGGGGCCGGGGAGGTGGCTGGAGTCAAGCTGGCTGAGTGGGAAATGCAGGAACTATGAGCCACACCGGTGCCCTTTGCAGGTGAGGAGGATGGTGAGGGTGGTGAGGGCAATCCTCTTGGGGATCTCGGAGGGGATGACTCACACCTGAGGCAGGCAGGTTACAGCTGGGTCCACAGGTGTGCTCTTGGCTGTGCCAAGTTGTAAGAGCAACTGAAGAGGCAGGAGGCAGCTGCGTGGGCCCTGAACTCCCGAGAGCAAGGGTTGCCAGGTATAGCGCTGGTCAGATGGAGGCTCCTTCCTGGGCTTGCACCTTGCTCCCCTCCCCTGCTGCGTTGGCCTGAGCCATGGAGCCTGGCATAAGGGTGGGGCAGACAGGGTCCTTGGTAGTGGTTGGAGCTAGCCCATTTCAGACAGGCTAGTGGGAGAGGAGGTGTGCCCGATGACCCTGCCAAGCGCTCTCCACTTCTAGGTCTGGGCATGCCTCCCTGCTTAGGCGCAGGGTTGAAGGGTATCTGAGGCTAAGTCACTGCGCTGGCAGCACAAAGCCATGAGTGGGGCGTCTGTCCGGGAAGAGATGGGAGGGTGCAGGGGTGGCCCAGGTTCGAGATTTGTGGGACTATATCTGCTCCAACACCGGCGCCAGGAGTGAGCAGAGGGGTCGGGGGTGGGCGGTGGAGGTGGGGGAGGACCACAGTGAGGTCCACCAAGCCAGCCGTTGCCTGACAGAGGCTTGGAGACCACGGCATCGAGGGACGCAGTCTCCGTATGCTGCGCCTAGGGAAGACAGTCTGGTATTTGAACTGATCCCCTGTACTCAGGGACAGTCGGGAGGATGCGGGCACCTGGGACCGGCCTCAGCCTAGAGGGGCGGCTCCAGGCAAAGTCTGCGCGCCCACTTCCAGCTCCCCCGCAAGGCGCGGGCCAGGTGGCGGCGCCCCGGCTCCGCAGCGCAGAGGAGGCGGCTTCCCGGGCCAGGGGCGGCGGCAGGGGCGGCCCCGGGATCACATGGGCGGAGGCAGGTCCCGGAGCCCCAGGCGAGCTCTCCCTAGAGTAGGACAGACGGCTGCGGTGGAACGGCGGCGGCTCCTCGTCCTTCCTCCCTCCGTTTCTCCCTCCCTCCTTCCCCGTCCTGGCGGGCCTGGCGGCGCAGCCCGACAGGCAAGCGGCAGCCAGGTGAGCCCGCGCCCACCTGCACCCTCCGCGGGGCAGCGCCCTCGGGGATCTCCGCCTCTCCGGACCCTACCCTAGGCCCAAGCATCCCTCCCCTGAAGCCTCTCTTCGGCGTGGGTACCGGGTGGCTTGGATTCGCTTCTGATCCGGACACTCGTCCTCCAGTCTCGGGGCCTCCAGGGTACTTTGGCCTTGGTGGGAAGCCGACTTGAGAAACTGGTGCTGGGGACAGGCAGGCTATCGCTAAGGCAATTGCCGCAGCGCTCACAGCAGCGGGTCCACTGGCCGGCTCAAAGGTCTGAGACTCTCAGGGCGTTTGCAGACTGAGTGAGACACTCTGGCTTGGGTGAAAGGGAAAGCCAGTTGCCTGAGGACAGGACAGTCGAACTGCCGGTCTGGATAACTCCCCCCTTACGCTAGGCCTTGATGTTGAGATACTGGACAGCACTTGCTGACTCCATATCTCCCCAGGGACAGCCTCAGGATGGGTGCTGGGCTGGGTAGTGCCCAGCCTGGTATTGTAGCTTCCTGCCTGGGTTGGCTCCTGGCTCCAGACCTAGAAGCTCAGGAAATCCTAGGAGGGCCTGGTCCATAAAGATACTCCCTTGCGGGGCAGAGGAGGCCGTGGATGGAAAGCTTGTGGCCAAACTGGCAGCATCACGAATGTGCCCTGCTGGCCAGTACCGGGGTGGGGTGGGGGTGCCTGCCTCGGCAGATGAGCCTTGGCCTCCTTGCTTAGGCTGTTCAGAGGGCACAGCGGGGCCCTAGAAGAGGCAGTGAGCTTCCTCTTGCTCACCTGAACCTAGTTTTCGGGGCTGGGCAGGTGGCCAGGTAGCCCCTCTGAAGACCTTGGACTGACACACCTGGCTAGCTCCTTTGCAGTGTGGTGGGGCCGCCCCAAGGCTTGCTGTCCTCCTGTGTGGAAAGTTCTGCTCTGTACAGAGTATGCAGGAAGTACCTCTTGCTCTTCGTTTTGGGGACAGGAAACAAGCCCTTGAGGTAGCAGAGGGGGGATGGGCTAGGAATACTCCTACCACCTGTTAGTTCCTTCCCACAGTCCTCCACCAAGCTCTTGTGTGGAAGTCTGGCCTCCTGCCGGTGGTATTGTTGTCCCTTTTGATGGATCTGCTGGGCTGAAGACCCTAGAAGGGGAAACTCAGAGTCACGGCCTCCCAGGGTGGGGGGGAAGTGAAACTCTCCAAGGGGGAGGGACTTAGTCACTTCCTCTATCACCAGCACTCGGCCTGGCCCTGCAGGACTGCTCTGAGACCTGTCACCCATCTTCTCCCTTTGCTGGGGGTGGGGGGGGGTTGTAGGAGTGGGTCCCATCTCCCAGTCTTTTCTTCCTCAGGCATGGCGCTGACTGTGGATGTGGTGGGGCCAGCACCCTGGGGCTTCCGCATTAGTGGAGGCAGAGATTTCCACACACCCATCATTGTGACCAAGGTAAGAGCTGTTTTTAGGAGATAAGGAGCTAGCTACACCCCCCTCCCCGAAAATGAGGGGTGTCTTGTTTCCCACAGGTGCTTTTTCCATTTTTTTTTTTTTTTTTCCCGGAGCATGGAGCTTGCTCTGGGCAATGTTGGCGGGGAGGGGGAGACAGTTGTGATCTGCCCCTTTGCCCTACAGTCTCAGGCCACACACAGCCATTTGGGGTGGTTATATAGGACAGGTGCTTCTGCAAGTTTTTGGTAGGTCGGTAGTGTCCTTTCTGCCCAGGCCCAGGCTGAGGCCCTGCCTGGAGAGCACTCGTAGCCCAGGCGGTACTTGGGCAGCTGAAAGGTATGATTTGCACAGGCAGGGTTCTCTATCCAGAAGTGTTCCCAAGCTCAGTTCCTGACATTCTGCCATCACATTCCTTGGGAGGCCCGTGTTTGAATGCCAATGTATGTGTCTGCCTGTGTGTGTGTTGGGGGGAGGTGGGGCTGCCACTCAAGCCTGTAAGGGATTAGCTGATGAGCTGGCGGACCAGGAAAGGTGGTAGAGGTACAGTCTTGCTTCTGCATCTCTTGGGCAACCGGAGGTCCCTTCTGCTCCAGCCTTCTCAAGCTGTACCCCTATACCGGGTGGGATACTCACCAGCCAGAATCTGGCTCCTCATCCCTATAGGTAACAGAGCGGGGCAAGGCTGAGGCAGCAGACCTCCGGCCTGGCGACATCATTGTGGCCATCAACGGGGAGAGTGCAGAGAGCATGCTCCATGCCGAGGCCCAGAGCAAGATCCGACAGAGTGCCTCACCCCTACGACTGCAGCTGGACCGGTAGGCCTTCCACCTCCACTGGCTGGTCCTGCCACCTTTTCCCCTCCTCCACTTGCCCATTGCCAGCCAGGCAGCCGCCCTCAATCCTGCCGACAGCACCAACGGACTCCCATCTCAGTCTTTCAAGGCCCCTTTGACATGGGAAGTCTTCAGCTCTGGGCCTGTGGTAGGGAAAAGGAAGATGTCCCAGTAACTATATGGATCTAGGTGGGCGCCAGGCTGGGCATGCAGCCACAGGAGAGGTGGGGCGAGCTGGCACCAGCTACCTGGAAGCCCGGGTTTGACTGGTTCCCGGGAGTGTGAATGGTACAGGGTGTGGGCCTGAAGTGGTTGAAGAGAGGAGACTTCTGGGCAAGCTGTACCCTAGCCTGAGTCTCTAGTACCCTTGACTCTGAGATGGCTTTTTTTTTTTGTAGAACCAGGTGGAGATGAGAATCGAGGACTCACAACTCACAAAGCTTAGAGTCCCTTCCCATCACTGTTTTGGGCTTGGCCATTGAATGTGGGTCCCTACACTCATGAGGAGTGTTGTGGGTAGGGGGAGGCTGTGACAGGTGGCTGCTCAGGGTGGATAATCACAGTGAGTCATAATTCAAGAATGCTGGGAGATTCCTTGGTCCAAAGGCTCTCTGGACAGGCCAGCAAAGGAGTTGGATGTCTTCTGCTTCTCCCTTTTTCTCTGCCCCACTGCCTGACTTTCTTCTGGCCCTGCCTCTGCATCCCTCCTCCCCCATGGGTCCTGCTGGTAGGTAATACTGCATGGTAATCATGGCAGGCTCCCACGATACAGTCTCTCTTCATACCATTCTGTCCCTGAGTGTTTGCAGAGAGAGACCTAAAGAGAGGAGGGTGGAGGGGGCCTCATGGCATCTGGGAATGGGACCAAAATCCACAGGAGGCAGCAATCAGGGGAAGATCTGCTGACACCATTGCTTGCTGTTTGCTCTTTCTTGGAGGAACCTGGCCATTGGGGATGTGGGCCTGGCCAGTTCAACACCACGTAAGCCAAGGCTCTGAGCATCTTTATTCTTTGGCTAAGACCCCCTCCTCAACCCTCTTCCCACCTCTCCAGGAGCCATTTAGAAGCTCTGAGGCAGGAACTCCCCTCACCCTGACCCTGCACCACTACCCCTGATCCAGGAAGGCAAAGGCTCCTGCCAGGCAACCTTTCTAGAAGAGAGCAGAGACCCAGGAGTGTAGTAACGATGATGGCAGGAGGCAGGAGTTGCTTTCCCACCTTCACCTTTGATCTCCAATGATCTCGCACCCTAGGTTCCTCCCAGCTCCACTGGGAAGAGCTTTAGGAAGAGTCCACTTGGGTCAGAGGAGCCTCTCTGGCTAGCTGCTATCAGCTGTAGGTCGGGAGTTGAGCCCTTTTGTACCCCCAGTCTCCAAGGCCCCCATCTGCCTGTGTGGAAGGGAAGGGAAGTCTGGTTCCACCTCTTGTTTTGCTGGGGAGGAGTCTGGGAAAGGGATTCCTAGTCACCTTCCCAAAGATGCTGTGGCCATCAAGAGAGCAGCTGGTAGGGACAAGCTATCAATAAGTGAAAGTCGGTACCTGGCCCAGGCAACAGTGGGCTTTGGGACAACTCATTTTCCATCTTATGGCCTTGGTTTCTCTACAGTTTTCAAGACAAGGGGTTATGTATATGGAATTAGCCATCTTCTTCAAATTAATCTCCAGCAGATGCTGCCCTGTAATCATCTAGATGAAATGTAGAAGAGAGATGGGTCATGGGAGAAACTTCTGATACACTGAATTTATCCAGCACTTTGCTGAAACTCTGTCCTTCCTGTTATGGTGCTGAACCTGAGAGGAATGATGATTGATGGGAGTCTTTTGTTTTGAACTTACCAAAGTTAAAAGTCCAATGTCCAAGTGTCCTGGATAGTTGGCTGATGTGAAGGAGCAGGCCCAAGAACAGTGTTTAGGAAGGGGGAAGTCTAGAGTCCTGTGACAGTCTCCTCTCTCTTGTCCCTCAGGTCCCAAACTGCCTTTCCTGGGCAGACCAATGGGGAGGGCTCCTTGGAAGTGCTGGCATCTAGATTCCAGGTAAGCTGGGCCTTCCAGCCATGAGCTACAGCACCCCCAAGTACCCTTGGGAGGTGCAGCCAGCAGGGTCATGCCAACTTTCTCTTGGCCCCTTTCTCCACAGGGCTCTCTGAGGACACGCCATGACAGCCAGTCCTCCTGGAGGCCTGCCTACTTCAGCCCAGCCTCCCTTAGTCCCAGGGCAGGTAGCCCTTTCTCCACTCCACCCCCAACCAGCCCACTGACCCTTTCTGGAGAGGATGTGATTGGCTGCAGGTGAGCACAGTGGCTGGCTACCCTGGCCAAGGGAGCCACCAAGTCTAAGCCTAGCCCCTCAGAGTCTCAGTAGTTACATGTAGGGGACCCTGGATGCCCCTTCCCTCTTCCTTCCTGGGACAGGCTGCGTGGGCTCCGTACCCACACACACACCCTCCCCATTTCAGTTTCCAGAGTCTGACACACTCACCAGGCCTTGCTGCTACTCAACACTTGTCCCCCTTGGACCGCCCCACCAGCCAACAGGTGAGGCTCCTTGAGGGAAGGAGATGAGACTTGTCTCCCGTGCCGCTGGCTGCCATCGGTGCCTCTGGCACTATGCGCAGCCGGCAACCTGAGCAGCCTGTGGGAACATCCCCTGGCAACAGGTCTATTACACCCCTGAGCCAGAGACGCTAGCTAGCTCTTGAGGCCACTGTGCATTCTTCTCTCCTGTCACTCCGGCCCCCTCCACTCTGCCAGCTTTCTCCCTTCTCAGTATGTTTCTTTTGGGCTGTGACTGAAATAGTTTTGCTGCTGTTGTTGGGATGAGGCCCTCTGTGCTGGCTGCATCTCTCAAAGACATTCCTCTCTGTTACAAGCCCCCAACTCCCACCCCAGCTCTTGATCTCCTTCCACTCAGCCCAGAGAGCCTCTGAAGGACTGTGTGGTTCTGCCTTATGCCGCCCTTGGCCTGTTTCCTGTCTGCTCCTTCCTCTGTCGGGCCCTCCCCCACCATGTCCCCAGCCTCCCTGTGGCCACTGCTGACAACATAACCCCCAGGTGGTATTTCTCCTCCCCAAGGGCAGGGGCGGGGCAGAGAAATAGTTAGACAACAGCCCTGGCAATCAGCTGCTGGGGGCAGAGTGGCTGGGGGCATGTCTGGCCTTTGGGTGAGGAGGACAAGGCCCAGCTGCTGGAATCTTACTTTTGGGTTGGTTCTGCATTCCGAAGAGCAGGGCCTTTGAGGGGTGAAAGGTTCTGCTTTCCAAAGAGCAGGGTCTTTGGGGGGGGTGGTAGGAGGAGAGGAAGTGAAGAGGGCTCTGGAGAAGAAAGGGGTGGAATTTGTGGTGATAGGCCCCATGCCTACCCCAGGGCCAGCTGGTTGGGTGATGTGGCCACAGGGCCATCTTTAAGGAATTTAAGATGTGGCTGTTAAGATAAGACAAACATGCCAAACAATTTTGAAACGATTAAGTATGAAACAGTGTGGGATTAATTACAAAAGCAGGAGGCATTCTGGAAGGGGAGAGAGCTTAGTAGGTTGGGTGGCCTGGAAAGGCTTTGCTAGCAATTTTGCTGGACAGTGGAGGGAGATTGGGGTAGGGTGAGTGAGAAGCAGTGGTCTGAAGTTCTTTTTTGTTTTGTTTTGTTTTGAGACTGGTTTCTCTGTATAGTCGTGGCTCTCCTGGACTCTGTAGACCAGGCTGGCCTCGAACTCACAGAGATCTGCCTGCCTCTGCCTCCTGAGCGCTGGGATTAAAGGTCTGTGCCACCCCAGACCAGCCTAGAACTTGTGTTTTGTCAAACCTGTATGCTAAGGAAGAGCTGGGGTCAGGTGTTAGGCAGGCCCTGGCTAGTCACATTCCTGTTGCGTTACTCAGAGCAGGGCCCTCTTCCTCTCTGTTCCTCAGAGTCAAGCTAGATTGACCCCAAGGAACTCTCATCCTCTCTCAAGCAGCTGCTTCTCCTCAAGCACCCTCTGGGCTCTTAGGGATGCATTCATGGAAAAAATAAAAATCCAGAACTCCTAAGTCCTTAGGCTGTGCTGGTGGGTTCGGGAGCCATGGGGTCCGTGCTTCCCTCCTGAGTCACAAGCATTTTAGCATCTTAGAGGCACCAAGTCCACAGGAAAGAAACACATTTGGTCTGACTAGGTTCCTAACCTTGTTGAGCTACAGAACGTCTTCTGGTTCTCTGGCCCATCTCTGATACTCACTGTGAACATCTCTGGCTGCCCCATAGCATGTTTGGAGGAAGTTACTACAGGCATGTGCGTGATGGGCAGATGATGAGGAAGGGGTTTGCTGGAGTGGAAGAGGAAACGCACCTTCTCTGGAAGCAGGGTCCTCAGGTGTCTAGGAGGGACAGGGGAGGCAAAGGCAGGCCTCTTCAAGTGATGGTATTGGTTGTTCAGGAAGAACTGGGGGCCAGAGGGAACAGAGATACTCTGATTTTGTCATGGGCTCTTGGCTGGCTGAGGCTAGAGAACTGGGATGTAGGGCACCTGTTGCCTCTCAGGTGTCATGCTGGAAGCTGCAAATTCACCAAGTGAAGAAACATATCTCTCCTCTTGCTGGGAAGTGAGATCTTGGCCCTGGAAGAAACCTAGGCAGGAAGGATTCAGTCCCACCTCCACCCCCCTTCTTGGCTGTTGTCCAATGAAGGGCATATGTTGGTCTGTTCTTGAGGCCCTGAGAAAGTTATCAGAGACCATCTTTAGTCTGGAATAACCATCTAGGAGCCTTGTATGGCTGGGGTCCTGCCTCACATTCCCAGGAAGCCTGGACCAGCCACTGCCCTTCATGGTAGCAAAGGAACCCAAAGAGTCTGGGGATGTATTTCAGTTGTTAGAACACTTCAGGATCTCCACCCAATCCCAGGTTCCCAGGCTGGAAACAGGCTTCTGGAATCGACAGTGAAGAAGTCTGGGTTTCAAAGTACCAGAGCACATGGATGAATTAAGATTATTTGCAGAGTGAAGCTGCTTATAATGCTTGAGAGGCGGTGGTAGGGCCGGGCAGGCAGGCCCAGACCTCAAACAGTGGCAGGAAGGGGCAGCGGGGAGCCTGGAGCCTGACCTGATCCTCTTAGGAGAGCTCTGTGAATTGCCTGGGGCCCCATCCCAGCTCTAGGAGAGTTTAACCCTTTACCCGTTTTTGTTGCAAAATGATTGGCTTCCAGGCTTGCTTGCTTTTTTTCTGTTTCTTCTGTGGAACAGGAGGCTGCCTACATCTCTGTGGACAGGTAGCATGATCTAAGCGTTATCTAAAGGGTGTCTGTGTGGAGTCCCCCACATGATGTCCTCCTTCTGCTCCTTTTGCATCTTAAGCATCTCTGCATCTGGGCGCTTGGCCTGTCTCCCGCTCATAGGATCTCATCCTCTCTGGTGCATTGGCTGTGAGGGCTGGGCACCAGGTATCTGACACCAGCTGGTCATCTGAGGCTAGGCGCCCCCTCGCGTTGATCACGGGAACAGCATCTGGTAGTGCACACGGAACAAGCTGGCCATTGGGGGTGGGGGTGGGAGACTGACTCCTCCCTGCGGCTCTCCTCCCACAGGCCGGCCACAGCAGCCCAAGCGACTCCTCCGCAGTAAGGGTGCTGCAACATTCCCCAGGACCTCGGTCCTCCAGCCCCAGGTTCAGGTACCAGCAGGTCTTGCAGAGTTGGGTGAGCTCCTGGAGGGTCTGGAGGGGACTGGTTTCCTCAGAAGGAATGGGAGTCTCCACCCCTTAATCCTTTCATACTCCTCTGCACCTGGGTGTGTCCCAACAACCAGGCACAGGGTCCTCATTCTTAGCTGTCTCTTCCTCAGCGGCTTGGACCTGGAAGAGGACTCAGAGGTGTTCAAGATGCTGCAGGAAAACCGCCAGGGACGGGCGGCCCCGAGGCAGTCCAGCTCCTTTCGGCTTTTGCAGGAAGCCTTGGAGGCTGAGGAGAGAGGTGAGGCCTCTAGGCTGTGGGATGAAGTAAGGCCCCTTGGACTCCCTGGAATGAGGCCAAACAGACTAAGGAAGTAGCTTAAGGGTCCATAGCAGAACTAGGGGTTAGGGGAGCAGATGTCAGGCCCCAGTTGCCTTAAAAAAGCTTATGTTCTGATTGGGGTTCCTGGGTACCCCCAAAAGGTGGTGGGTGGTACCAGTCAGAACCAGGAAAACAAGGGAGTGATACAAAACAGGAACTCCAGGCTGGGTCTCCAGGGAGGGCTTCTTGGAGAAAGAGGGATTTGATTTGGCCTTGAAACAAGATCCAAGACTCCAACAGCCTTAAGACAGTGGCCTGGCTAGGAGCACTATGGAATGTGGGGGCCAGCAGCCAGGGAGCTTTGGGTTATGTTCACAAGAAAATGGCTTGGCCTGGAAGCATGGGAGGGCGTCAGGGAGGGCTAGTTGTGCTGAGGCAAGGGCCTTGGGAGCCAGAACAAAGAACACTGTGCCACAAGCTGTCATGCCAGGCAAGATATCTTTGTGAACAACACAGTGCAGGCTCCTGCCAGCTGCCCATTTACTCGTTGGAAATCTACTGGGTGTGTTTCTCCAGTGAAGCAGATATGTCAAGTCGTACCCTGGCCTCGACCCTTGAGGAGCGCCAGTTATTGGGGATATGGCCCTAGGAAGTCCCCACAGGAGTGGGATGCATGCTGACCCTCCAGGAAATCGGGAATAATGCACTTTATGGTAGCAGACAATGACCAGTCCCCTGGTAGCTGTTTCCAGCCCTATGAGAGCGTAGTGCTCACAGGGCTCACGTGGGAACATATGGGATCGAGTGAGAAGGTTTTGGAACAAATCCCACCCATCCCAACTCTGAGGTCTCTAGAGACTGAGGGAGAAGCCACGGGGAGATTGGTAGCAGTGGCAGGGTGGGGGGAGGGTACGAACATAAGGTCCCTTCATGGGTGCCTCAGACTCAGCTGAAGCCTGGACAATAGCTGCCCGAAGCCTCTGTGCTCCATCTTGGTGTTTTCGCTGGCTCAGAAGCGATGACACATATAAAAGCCCTTTGAAAGGGCTGTACAAAGACACTGTGATGTTCTTATGGCCTGGAATTACCTGTGTATATCATCACGACCGGTTCACAGAAAGAGAACACCTTCATGTCTGTGTCAAATACTAGGCACAGACGTTCCTAGGTTGCTTTGGAAGGACAGGGTTCAGAACCTGACATCAGCCTTTGCCAAGGGTCGGGCCCAGTCATCTTCTTTCTTTACCTGCTTGCACACCCACTGGTACTTTAGAGGTCCGTGTGAAGGTCTGCTTTTTGCAACAATTGTGGGAGCGTCCTGGGGAGGAACTGGGGAATGTCGTAAAATGCCATTAAGTACAGCTGGCTACCTCTGCGGTGGACAAGAAGCTCTCATGCGTCTGTCTCCTGCCCCTCCCAGGTGGGACTCCTGCCTTTGTGCCCAGCTCGCTGAGTCCTCAGGCTTCCTTGTCCACCTCTAGGGCCTCGGCCACCCCACCCAAGCTTCACACCTGCGAGAAGTGCAGTGTCAACATCTCGTGAGTATCGGAGGGCTGGGTAATGACTGTACCTTGGGGAGCACGGGGCTTTCAGACAAAGCTGGGTGGTTAGTACGGTAGAGGGAAGCCAGGCCAAAGGGCTTCGCATTCAGAATGAATGCTTGGTTGCTTCCTGCCCAGCCCCTTTCCCTCCCTCCTCCCAAAAGGAATGAAAAATGCTAGCACTTTGAGGTTTTGATATTCCCCAAGTCTCTGGAAATCTGTCCCCAGGTGAGGCACCTCCCTCATCTCGGAAGAGCTTGCTGTCCTTTCCCTGTCCTGGGTTCATTTCTCAGTGGGTGGCATGATCATGCAGCCCTTCTCTCCGGTTTAAAAAAAAAAAATGCTGATATCCCTCCCTCTATAAATGCTAACATGGAGAGTCACGTGACTGACTTTGGGCAGTGTCTTGACCTTTCCTGGCTGTAGCTTTCTCGTTGGCTGGACGGGATAGTGTCCTGTGCTCTGAGGAAAGTAGGTGGGAAACTGGTGTGTCCGTGGTGGCTCTCCCAGGAGCCTGTGTTCCTGTCCCTGGAGGGCGTGTAAAGCGCAGAGCACACCACTAGCCCCTGCGTATCAGTTCTGATTTCACTGCCCTGTAATGCTAACGCTACGAGTTCTCTATCCAGGGTCATTCTCGGAGAGCCACTGCCCAGGGGACGGATGGGGGATTCCGTCAGTCCATGAGATGGGGTCTGCCTGAGACTAGATAGTCTTGCCTAACTAATGCTGTGATCATGTATGAGCCTGCCTGGCTCAAGGTGTAACCTTGTTATTTTAATTAACTATTATTTATTAGTGTTTGCCTGAGTGTAGAAATAACCGTGGCCTAGCTGTGAAGGTCAGAAGACAATGCCAGGTGGTGGTGGCATACAGGACGCTAGTCCCAGCACTTTGGAAGCAGAGGCGGCTGAATCTCTCTAATGAGTTCAAGGCCAGCCTAGCCTGGTCTACAGAGCCAGTTCTAAGACAGCCAGGGTTACATGGAGAAACCCTGTCTGAAAAACAAAAACAAAGAAAAAAGTTTTGGGAGTTGGATTTCTCCTTCCACCATGGGTTCTGGGGATGGTAGTCAGGCTGTCAGGCTCCTGTGGCAAATGTTTTCACCCAACGAACCATCAGTCTGGCCCATTGGGGGTCTTAGCGGAGTGTTCGTACATGTCTGTGTTGATACTTCTGTTGGTGGTTGGTAAAATAAAATTTCCGAGAGAGGCTTTTGGGAGCCAAATGCCCGAGGTATTTGTGTCTGAGGTTCTGACTGGCTGGGGAACAGGTTTCCTGGGAATGGTGGCCTCAAGCCAGGCCCTCCTGACTATCCTGCCCCTGTCCTGAAACTAATGGCTTTCGCTTTCGGCAGGAACCAGGCCGTCCGCATCCAGGAGGGGCGGTACCGACACCCTGGCTGCTACACCTGCGCAGACTGTGGGCTGAACCTGAAGATGCGCGGTCACTTCTGGGTGGGCGATGAGCTGTACTGTGAGAAGCACGCGCGCCAGCGCCACTCGGTGCCCGGAACTCTCAACTCCCGAGCCTGAGCCCTGAGGTGCTCAGCCCGAGCGTATGGGGAGGGGTGGTAGCAGGTGATGGCTCCTACACGAACTGAGGTTGGGGAGACCCCTTTGTCCTTGCTGGGTGAGGCCAAGGGCTGTGACTAGTCTCAGGCTACCATGAGGACAGTTCCGCTCTCTCTGGCCTTTCTCCTGCAGGCCAGGTGCTGTACTGCAGTCTGAATTGGCCTCTATGTTCGACAGGTTTGCGCATAGGGAAAGCTGGGCCTGAGGTTAATGCTCTTCACGCTGTAAAGTTTCTCACGTATGAACTCTATATACATGTGGATAAAATTAAATAGTGTCCTTTCTTCCTTCTTTCCTTGTTCCTGGGAAGAAAGTCTTTATGGGTCCCGTCTTATTCCCCCTCCCTTAAGCCTCACCCCATTGCAGAGACCTGCTTCTTGTTTTTCTTTTTTTGTTCCTTTGAGACAGTATCCCAGATACCTCAAACTTACAGTTCTGCCTCTCAGCCAGCATTGGTGGCTCACGCCTTTAATCCCAGCACTCGGGAGGCAGAGAGAGGCTGGTGGATCTCTGTGAGTTCCAGGCCAGCCTGGTCTACAGAGTGAGTCTAGGACAGCCAAGGATACACAGAGAAACCCTGTCTTAAAACACCAACCAACCAACCAAACAAACCAGTTCTGTGTCTCAGCCTTTCGTACGCTGGGACGACAGGCAAGTGCCCCACCATATTCAGTGACTTGCTTCTTTAAGTTGAAGGTTTATGTGTCCTTAACTCTTTAGAAAAGGTATTCTTTTCTTATTAAAAAATAATTTAAAAAAAAAAGATGGTCGCTCATATTTGGAGGGAGGGGCTTTCTTCTCTGAAGCTGGGAGAGACACAGAAACAGGAGCAGAGAAGGGTTTCCTAGTGAGACAGCCAAACACCCCACAAACTCAAGCTTGGGCAGAGATAGACTGGGGTCAGCCCTCACTCAGGGTAGATGCTACCTGCTTCAGTGACTACCAATGTACACAGATGAGCAGGACAGGCGGGGGGGGGGGGTCATCCAGTGATGGGGGGAGTGTGTGTGTGTGTGTATAGGAACTTGATCCCTCAGGCTGCTTGCCTTATTTGGAACGATGACCCATCAACCAAGGATAACATTGCTGCAGGATGGCCTTCCTGGGGCGTGAGACAGTCCAACAGAATAACATCCCATGGAACCCCCCGCCCCGCCACACCCACCAAGAGCTGGGTCTCTAGGCAAGGCTGGTCTGCTTATACCCACACTCCTTCTGTTGGCTTCATGATTGGAGGGAAATACAACAGGTGTGGCGGGTGCCCAGCATCCTGTCCTCTGTGAGGTGCCCTCAGAGAGAGAAGGAGCAGCGGTCCTCGGCAAACCCGAAATTTTTGGTCTGATTTATGAGCCATCCTTAGGTTTAATCCCGGAGGACGTTTCAGAGCGTCTCCAGGTGGTGTGTGTTCCAGCCATGACCCCAGTCAGCCTGGGGAGGGGATGCTTGTGAACCTCATTTTCATAGGGTATCAAAGCTGGCTTTGGAGGGTGGGGTCTTGATGGCACTCTTTGCTATCTGGCTCTTTGGGAAAGCAGAGACTGTGTTACCTTCTTGGACACCTGCGAATATAATTTATACCTTGATGTAATTATCCCACCTTTTGCCTGGATGGCTGCCTGATGGTGAGCCTCTATTTTTACAGAAAAGATCAAGACTGGCTGGCTGAGTCTGGCTGGTTGCTGGTTAGAAAGGAGGTAGTCTCTTTGGTGCCATCTAGTGTTCAACGATCCCACTGCAGGGAAAAGGCGCACAGAAAAGGAATTCGTTAGAATTTGAGCTTTGGCACAGTCGGCAGGGAAAAGGATTTAATCTCCCCCCTTCCCTCCACTCGTGCCACCCCACTCCTGGAGAGCCACGGGGCTGGCAGCGTAAGATACAATAGCTGCTAAGGCTGACTTGGAACACACAAGGAGCTGCTGTGTATTCAAAGTTGTGCCCATCTGAGAAAGGACTGATACAGGAAGAGCTGGATGACTGCCAGCAGGATGCTCAGCTTAGAGCGGCTGCTGCTGGAAAACCTGCAGAGATCAAGCCAGATGTGACAGGAACTTCACCTAGAGGCTTAGAGATGCTTAGAAGACAGTTGCATCTGTGAGTGACAGGTTGGGAATGGTAAGTCGTGTATGACTTAGTAGTTACATCCCCACTTGCAACAAATCCATGTGGGCTGAAAGTGTGTCACAAGAAGTGAAGGGGAACTGGGGGCAGGCTCTGGTTTTTACCCCTTCTCTCATGCTCACACTAAGCCAACTAGTGTTGAGTTCCTATTCTCTCTGATCCCCACGCTCCTCAGACTCTATTGTACTCTGTATCCCCCCCCCCCCCCCCGCGGTTTGGAGAATAAGTTCACAAATGACAGATTTGTTACAAATGACCCAAAGTTGTAACATAAATATGTGCAAGGTATTTGATATACGACCCCAAAGAGGTCTAGACCCACAGGTTGAGAAATCACTATCCTAGAGCATTCTGGACATCCTAGAGATGTTTGGAGCATTTCATCTTCATTCTCACTGTTTAGAGGGAAGCGCCACAGTCACCTTCAATCTATAAAGGAAGGGAATGGGGACTGTGAGGATTTCTAGTTAGTAAGAGGAGGAAGTCAGGAAAAGAACTAAGACAGAGCCTGTCTTCAGGTCCTTGGCTTCATTTCACTTGTCCCCTGAGTCAAGCTCAGCGCTGAGTTTTCAGGAAGCCAGCTTCCTGAAGTTGGGGCTTCCCCACTCGAGGCAGGAGGATCATGGCTGGGGATAGCCTGCCTGAAGCAGCCACAAGCAGCGATGCAGCTCACTCCAAGGGACATGATTTTTGAGGTGGAGGTGGCAGAGAAGAGACTCAGGTGGTGGCAGGTCATGCAGGGATAAATGACCCTTTGGGTAATGAAGGACTGGCTGGGTTCTGAGTTTGGGGAGCCTCAGTCAGGACATTAGATGCAGAAGGAAGTGTAGCCCAGCACATCAGGTCCAGTTCTCATGAAGGCTGTGACTGCTCAGACCTGGCCCAGACTTGCACAAGGGGGCGGGGCCCTATCTGGGAGGAGAATATGTGTTGGGGAGTGTACTTAGTGGGGTGTGTGTGAGTTCTTTGTGCTGAGACACCGCATTCCTGCTGGCTTGGCTTCCTGTTTCTGGACACATTCCTGACCTCATCACCACGGAGACTGCTGCTTGGAATCTGGGCCCCAAATTTTTCCAAATTCAGGGCGAGATCAGGCAAAGGATTCCCCTCCTTTCCCTGTAGGGTTTCACCTTGGAGGAGACACCTGGCTTGGCAGGAGAGCTTGCTTCCCTGGATCTTCTTGAACTTGGAGGATCAGGCCCAGTATCCTGTTTCCCTCGTATTTGAAGGACAGGAATGGGGAGGGGGGCAGGGGAAGGACAGCCAGCAGCCCTGGGAACTCATGCGGCAGGAAAAGGGCTTGACCTAAACATCAAGGTTCTGAATTTGGTAGAGAACTGCAACTCCCGCTCTCATCCTCTCCTGACTTTATAATATGGAAATTTGATTGTTGGTGGCTCTCTGATGAAGGAACCACTGGAGAGCATTTGAGGATGGGGTCTAAGAGGAAGCAAGTAGAGGGTCTAGGAGGAAGCAAGCAGATAAGGGTGCTCATCTGCCTCTAGGGGACTTGAGGCCAGCTGAGATTTTCCAGCCCTTACTGGCTTCTGAGAAAGGGAATGTTTCCCTAGAAGCCCCAGCACCATCTGGCCACCTGGTAGTTAACCATCAGCTGCTGCTGCCTCAGCTCCTTTCAGAATGGGGTTGGGGTGGAACGGGACCAGGCCAAGGGTGGTGGCTGCTAGGGTCAGGGGAACATCTAAATTTACTGCTCAGTCTCCAGGCAGCTCCAGGCTGTGGTTCACCTCTTGCCCACATCCTGCAGACCCAGCCACCACACTCCTGCCACTCGGGTTGGGTAAGGGGTTCATAAGCCGCTCTCGACCCTGAGTGCCTTGCCTTGAGCGCTCTGCGGGTTTTCCCAGGACGCAGAACCCTTCCCCCTTTCTGACAGGCTGAGGGACCTGGCCTCAAGTCACACAGCTGGGAGGCCGGATGCAGTCCCGGTCTGCCTTCTTCCCACCGCCAGCACTGTGGGGTTCCATTTCCTTCCGGGCTGTTGTGCAGTGCAGCTCCCGCTCCACTGGGTTCCAAGCTGCAGCAGCAGCAACGCAGGCGGCTCGGGCGGGCAGTGGGGGGTCGGTGGCGCTGTGCGCCAGTCTGCTAGAGTCCTCGAGGGGGACACGCACCTCCAAGAGCACTGGATCAGGGTCTTTCTGCAGCCAGAGCGGGAGACTCGATGGCCAGGGGAGGGAGTCCTCAGCCTGACGCTGCCTGGGTCGGCGCCCTCCACCTGCGTGCCGCGCCCCGCCCCGGCCCGCCCCCCGCGGGGAGTGTCCCGGGACCTCGCCCAGCTGGGCGGGCACCGGAGGGCTGAGCAGCCCCGGCTCCACTAGAGACTTGGGGACGCTCGGGATCGCTTGGGTGCTGCAGCAGTTTCCACGTCAAGCGGGGGACGCGCCATGCTGAGCCGGCGCCGCGTCTTTGCGGTGGAGCGACTTGGAGGCCAGGGTGAGTCGGGTTGCCTCCCACCCTGGGGTCGCCTCCCGTTCTCCGGCCCCGCTCGAGCGGCGCCTACCGGCCGCGCCCCCTTGTTCCTTTGCTTTGAAGGAGTTGAGTGAATAGGCTGGGGAAGCCTCACACAGTTCAGATCCTCCGGGATTTGCAGGGCAATCACCCACCACCCGCATCCTACTGGTTCGTGGCCTCCTTTCCCCCTAATTCCTGGTGTGGAACCTTCTCCTTCTAGGCGAGGTTCAATGACTGGGATATCCTTGCCCCAGCCAGCAGTCCTGTAAGCCCCTTAGTAGCCACAAACCCATTTCCCAGGGCAGGGCATAGCTTCCTGGTACACTTCCTGAGCCAGAGGGGACGGGCTGGCATCCTCTTCCCGCCAAAGCAGCCCTAGCTTCTGCCTGATTCCAATAGACCACTCAGACAGCAATAAGGCCTGACACAAAGGTAGTGATAAATGGATGTTAGGCAGAAGGGTGTGGAGATTAATGCCCGTAATCCTAACACTTGGGAGGCTGAAGAATATTGGGAGTTCCAGGGCAGTTTGGGCTACAGAGTGAAACACTGTTTCAAGAACAACAAAAGTTATTTCTTTATTTTGATATATAGTTAAAACTTTTTTTTTTTTTTCCTAAAATTTTGGACTTTGCCAGGCGATGTTAGCTCACGCCTTTAATCCCAGCACTCGGGAGCCAGAGGCAGGCAGATCTCTCTGAGTTGAAGGCCAGCCTGGTCTACAGAGTGAGTTCAAGGGACAGCCAAGACTACACAGAGAAACCCTGTCTCAATAAACAAACAAACAAACAAACAAACAACAATTTGGACTTTTGTGTGTTTTACCTGCGTGGACTGGCCAGGGCGGTCAAAAGAGGGCGTCAGATCCCTTGGAACTGGAGTTGTGAGTAGGTGCCAGGAACCCAACATCCTTCTTCTGGAAACCGCAGCCAGTACTTTAAAATACTGAACCATCGATCCGACTCCAAGATTTTTTTTTTCCATTTGTCACATGATCATCCTTTCTTGTTTAAGAAGACAAAAGCCCCAGTTGCTATCATTTTGTTGTTGTTGCTGTTCTTGTTTTGCGGTGTGAGGATAGAACCCAGTGCCTGGTGCATGCTCAGTGTCACATCCCAGCCCTAGCTGCTGCCATTTTCATCACTGTCCCCATAAACTCCAGAAGACACCTCATCCTGCATCCTAGTGTGTCAGGAACTCCAGATAGCACCGTGTACCCAACCTTCACCTTGCTCTTTCTCCCTCCCATATCCGAGGAGTCCAAGGCTCTCCTAGACTCAGTATTTCAGGTGGATCCTAGTAAAGGGTCTGTTAAGCCATCTGCATTGCTGATTGCCATCACTCGAAACGACTTTGGCTACCACGTGGCCCAAGTGTAGGTTCTTGCCAGCTGACGACCGTTGATAAGCACCCCATCCGGACACCTAATAAGCAGGGAGAGAGCTTTATCTCAGTGGGGCTGTGGATGGCTTGTGTCCTTGCTCACCACTGGTCTAGGACACACCTCCTCAAGGGAATGCTGCCAGTTGCCTGGAATGCTGGGGGCGTTGGGGGCAGCCTGCCTGTCTTAACACCGACTCTCCTTACAGATGGGGCCTTTGAGGACCTGGCACAAGGCTGTGTGGTGCCGGGAGTCACCTGTACCTACAGACGGCTACCAGACAAAACTCATGGGTGTTCACTGGACTTCAGGGAGGGACAGGGTGAGCTGAGAGATCCGGAGGGACAGATGCCACTTGTGAAACTGGCTTCCCAGGACTCAGGCATGGAGATGGTGATGGGGGACAGCCCCTTGGCTACCTTATCAGGACTTTCTCAAGATTCTCTGAACCTTGAGCCCAGGGGGAGCCCTGAGTTGCCTCCTGCCCAGTTAGACCGGCTGCTGGCCAGACAGAAGCTGGAGCAGGTGCTGGAGAGGTCTCGAGTGTTTCCCAGCTTGTCGTCTGGAAGGCAAGGCTCCCTGCAGCTGCTGAAAAAGCCCATCTTTGCAGGAGAACGGGAGTCCACTGAGGCAGACACTGAGCTAGAGGCTGGTCTGGAAGAAGCAAAGGTGGTGAGTATTCATTTTGGCTAAAGACTGGGATGGAGAAAGCCCTGAGGTGGGGCTTGTAGGGACCCTCCCCCCTTTTTCCCTGGAGCTCTCTCGGGGTGGGGCATTCTTTGCCCCTAATTGATGGTTGTGTCATTGCTTTTTGTTTCACCCTGCATGGTATGTAGCCACCCCCACAGAGCAGGTAGACAGGTATGGGTGCCATGCTCAACTGGGTGCTGGGGAAGCCAGCCAGGTGTATCTTCCTTGGCTTGTCTGCTGGGACTCATTTTGTTGGTGCAGCACAGCCTGACGACCCCGAATGGGAGTCTTGGCTGTCTCTGAATGTCTTCCCACCTTAATGTGTCCCACAGGTGGGTGAAATGGAATCTGGAGCCTGGACCTGCCTTCCAGGGCAGGGTTTGCGTTACCTGGAACACCTGTGCCTTGTGCTGGAGCAGATGGCAAGACTCCAGCAGCTGTACCTGCAGCTGCAGACCCAGAGATCCTCCAGGGTAAGTGATAGACAGGTACAGGTGGCCAGGTCAGTTATCGAGGGAGGTAGAGGGAAAGTGGGACCCCTGAAGGCATGAATGCCTTCTGAACATCTAATGCGTCTCTGTCCCATCTGTCCTGTCTCAGGATCCTGAGGAGGAAGAACTGGCTCCAGCTCTTTCATCTTCACGTACCTCAGACCTTACAGTGCAGGGGCATAGAGAGGAGCTAAGCCAGACAAAGGACTCAGGTGAGGGGCAGTTGTGTCTTCCGATGCCTTCTGCCTGTGTCTGCCCAGGGTCCCACCAGCAGATCCTCTGAAGTGTGACTTGTTTCTGCTTGTTTTTTGCCCCAGGTGATGTGGGTCTCTTTTCTGAAGGTGCAGAGGCAGCTTCACTCCCAGAGGTGAGGGTGCTTGTCGCCAGCCCTCCCAGGCTGCCAGAGGCCTTGCTGGAACCGACCCACATCCTTCCACCCTCCCACGAACACAAGGTAGTGATGGATATATTTGGAGCAGGTGGTAGGATGGTTGAGGGCAAGGGAATCATGGGCATGTGCCCACCAAATCAGAACTTTGGGGAAATGGCAGTATTTCTTTTGGAGTGGGTGACTTGCTCTGACCCTGAAGTCCCTGGGAGCTTCATTAGGAATATATGGCATATAGATGCTTTGTATGATGATCCCTTATTCTCTCTCCAGCAGGATCTTTCCCACTGGGACAAAGTCAAGGTTCTGCTCAATCGGATCCGCTGGAGGAGTCCTCGACTTCCTGAGCCTCCTGTTCCCCCTGATAGTTCTGGACCCAGGTAAGTCTTGTGCCTGATTCAGGTTAAGGCAGTGGCCCTTAACTGATGAGCCAGGATGTTGATATTGTCCTGTCCTGACAGTTGTCATCTTAGTCCGTATGGAATTCGTGAGACAAAATATTGGAGAAGATGCTCCAAGCAACGAAAGGAATTAAGATGCCCCATTTGTTAGTGAAAAAGAGCAAAGATTTACATGAGATTAGGACAGTGGCTTCCTAAAAGCCACAACCAGATTGTGGGCAGTATCTTTATCTTCACCCACCAAGCCCTCACTCCTTAACACTGAAACTTAGGGGATGAGGTAGAGACACAGGCAAATTATTTTACTGTGGGAGTAACCTGTCATGTTTGGAGCCTTCTCCTCAGAAGGTCAGCAGTGCATCACAGTTCTGGTTTCTTTCTTCCAGCCTAACTTCTCCTTTGCTTTTCTATAGGTTGGAGTTCAGGAACCTTTCTGAGAGGCCTCAATGCCACTCGCACCGGAAGACCTTTATTCCATCACTGATGGTTAAGAAGCCACGAACAAAAAATCTTTCTGTATGACCTCTTGGTGTTCCTGGTGACCTGGGGTGGAGGGGATTTGTCATGAAGTCCCTCACCTGTTGGCTTACTGCTGCTTCTCTGCACTGCCAGGAAAAGCTATTGCAGGATTGCTCCTCTTCAAAGTGAGGGCCAAGTCCTTCTCTAAGCAGCGTGGCCTAGGAGTCCTGGTTCCCTGAGGGCCCTGAAGTGCAGTTCTGGCACTCTTCCAGGGCTCTTCCTCCTTGTCAGAAATCTCTGGGCTTAGGCAATGTGAACTGACTTATTTATCAGGTGCTCGCAGAGTGTATTCAGTATGGTAATGTGTCAGCATGTTGCAGGAGAATCTGTAATCTTCGTTGGACTTTCAGCTGCCCAGATTCAATCATCTGATGGAACCTGCATCCAGAGCGTTGATGCTTTGGGTGTACCTGAAAGGATGGCACTAATCTTCATTCCACAATGGACAGTTACTGATTCAGATTTCCTATTTGTTCTTCATACCTGAGATGGCTGCCCACGGACAGAGAACAATACTGTCTTGGGTGTTCCTTTGTACTGAGTCATGGCCCTGGAGCATGGCCTTTGAAGACTGAATGAGGAATTGGGGGGAAGATCAAGAACAATGTGAGGAACAGCAAATAACTTACAAGTTCAAGTCTAAGTTGCTGTATTCTATCCTGGAGTTTAGACCACGGCAAAGTCTCTTAATTTCTGAGCCACAGCTTCCTACTTGGGATGATGCCTGCCTCACCTACCTCATAAGCTTGTTAGGAGGATAAAATAACATTAAACTTTCTCAATATGTGCTCTGACTGTTAAGTGATTAGGGTTTGCTGCTGGAGGCAGACAGGAATAAAGTGATGACGGGAGGAGGTTAAGGGAGGGTGGCGACTGTTAACAGGTGTGAAAATGGCCACACTTCTGGCAAGATGTTTGGGTAAGTCCTTTGAGCTCTAGTACATTTCATATTCGAGAGTTTATGCTTACCCTTTGCTGGTGGTGCTGTCCATAGGAGGGAAAAGGGTCATTGGCTTTAGTCAGACAGAAGAATGCCTGCTAGAAATGGCCCAGTGGCACTGCTGCTTTTGCTGCTGTAGTCTTAGGGGTTAGGAGACTACAGAAGTGTGTGTAAGTGGTAGTCTCTTATCTTTGAGGGAGGTGGTCCAGTTCCAGTCATTTTGCGATCAGGAACCAATGCTCAGAAGCCTACTTTTCTAATGGGACTCTTGAGCGAGACACACCACCGAACTCAGTTTCCGAATGCATTCTCGGATCTGGGAAGGCGCACTTCCGTTCCACGGTTGGAGCGGGATGGCTGGCTGGTGTGGGGGAAGGGAGACGTCGACGGAGAAGAGGGAGGTACCATATCCGGGAGAGTGGCAGCTTCCGACCAGTGGTCGCTCTTCCGGAGAGACGTTTCCGGTGGTGGTGGCAGCAGCGGCTGCGGTGGTTCCGGGTGTCTTTGTCCCCCTGGTGTCGTGGCCCTGGCCCGCAGGTGGGTTGGGGGCCTCCCGCTGCGCTTCTGCCTCTCCGTTTCTCCCGGGTGGCGAGGCTGCAGGGTCCACACAGCGAAGATGCGCCAGCCGAGGAAAGCACCGTGCGCCCTCCGGACTGCAAGCTCCGTCTCCCTGGCAACGGCCTCGGCCCTGGGGGCGGGCGGGAGGAGGAGAAACCTCGCGCCGTGGTCCTCCCACGGTGGCCTCTCGGTGGCCCGGCCCGGAAGGCTCTGCGAAGGCGGCTGCGGAGGCCGGAGCCGAGGGTTGGGACCTAGGTGTAGGGAGCGGTGTGCAGGCCGCTTGGCGAGGGGCGGCTGGACAGCTCCCTTTCCACCAGCAGGTCCTAGAGGACATCGGGCGGGCTTCCGGGGAGAGGGCCCTCATCACCTCCCCGCTACTGGCACCTCCATTTTCCCCCGGCCCTGCGTGGAGTGTTTTGGCGGATGTTTTTGAATGAATGAATGTCACCAGAACTCTTCCAGCCTCTCATTCCGCCAGCCTCTCCAAGGGTGCCAGTGTCATAGTGAAAGGAGTGCTAAGTTGTTGGGAGACCTGGGTGTGAGTCCCGCCTTGTCACTCCCTGGTTTTTGGCCTAGGGCAAGTCTCCTGTTCTTAGAGCTCCAGTTTCCTTGCTTGTAAACCAGCATGTCACTAGTACCCAGCACTCGGCTGTTGTGTGGACAAACTGGAGTAACATGATTACCTATTTTCATTTCCTCTTCTGCTACCTCGCCACCTCCCCCATTTTAGTACCCATCTCCTCACTGTAAAAGCTTCACTTCATTAAGATTTTCCGTTTTATTTTCCTGGTACTGATGGAAGTTTTCCATTCAAGCTGTTAACTTCTTTCTTTCTTTTTCTTTTTCTTTTTTTTTTTTTTTTTGATCGAAGGTTCCCCCCCAAGACCTTGAAAGGACAACATTCCCAATGTCCCAGTTTAAGCGCCAGAGGATCAACCCACTTCCAGGGGGACGAAACTTCTCAGGTACTTACCCTCCATACCTGGCCTCACTGAGGATGTGCCCTGTACTCAGTTTTTAAAACTCTGCTTCTTGGGTGTTTCCCTGAATGTCTTGAGTAGCTGATCGGAGCCACCTTGACTTCTGGGTTTACAAAATCCTCAGGCTGTCCTTAGTGCTCAGGCTGGTAGGTGCAGTTCTTGGAGATTGCTTCTCTGTCCCTCTAGGCGCAGCTTCAACATCTCTTTTGGGTCCTCCTCCTGGTTTGCTTACTCCTCCTGTGGCCACAGACCTGTCCCAAAATGCCAGGCACCTTCAGGTATGTTGGGTTCCCATTCTAGTAAGTTCCCCTCTGGGGCTACCCTAGGATGTTTAGATGTCTGTTGTTTTGTTTCTTGTGTCACAGTGGCCAGCATCCCTGATTTTTTTGTACTGGTAGTAAGCCAGTGTTGGGGAATTTCCTAGACTGGGGAATCTTTAATATCTGGCTCCAGAGAGATCTTTTGGTGCATTTGGGAATAAAGGACTGAAAAATCCTAGACATATGAAAGTCAAGAATTAGCTTCTTCTCTCTACATAGATATGCTGCGTCTGCTAGGTTTCTTTCCATGTGAACGTCCCTGTAATGGCACAAGCTGGATCCATTGTGGCTGGAGATGAGGTCCTAGTGGCAGAGCATGACTTTGTTCAGGTTGCTTCCTGTTGCCTTTGACCTCCTCTCTTCTCTTGCAGGGTGGGGAGAAGCAGCGGGTCTTCACTGGCATTGTTACCAGCTTGCATGACTACTTTGGGGTGGTAGATGAAGAAGTCTTTTTTCAGCTAAGGTAGGCTTGCTTGTGGCTAGTCTCTTCTGGGGATGGTTGTTGGGTTCGGGTCTGTCTGCATGTTGTGGGGCCCCTCTTTATAACCACTGCTTTGCTATTTTCCTGCAAGGTTTAAGAAATCTTGATGGGAAGGGCTTCCTGGGGGCAGTCAGGGTACTTGTTCAGGGTCCCTCCTAATGGGGCCTCCTGGTTTTTGTGCTGGCAGTGTGGTAAAGGGCCGACTACCCCAGCTTGGTGAGAAAGTATTGGTGAAGGCTGCCTATAACCCAGGCCAGGCAGTGCCCTGGAATGCTGTCAAGGTGCAGACGCTCTCCAACCAGGTATTTTTCATCTCCTTAGCATGTGCTCGGCAAAGGGGAGGAAGGGAAGGAAGTCCTGTGCCCTGACTTTTGGGTAGAATCCTTCCTTTTGTTGAGGGGGTGGGGCGCCTGTCTCTCCATGGTATCAACATGGGGATCCCCTGAACTTGCTATTTTCCTTCAGCCCTTACTGAAGTCTCCAGCACCTCCCCTTCTGCATGTGGCAGCTCTGGGCCAGAAGCAAGGGATCCTGGGAGCTCAGCCCCAGTTGATCTTTCAGCCTCACCGCATTCCCCCACTTTTCCCTCAGAAGCGTGAGTACTGGCAACATGCAAGTTGGGGTGTGGCTTTATGGGGTATTCTTTTAAGAAAGGACTTGTTACTTCCACAGTGACAAGTAACAGATGTTCTCAGAACAGAAGGGGGTACTTCTCTACACAGGAAGAGGAGGAGGAACCTGGACGGGGTTTTAGGGCTTTTGAGTCACCGGCCATTTCCTTTCTTCAGCTCTGAGTCTCTTCCAGACATCCCATACACTTCACCTGAGCCACCTGAACAGATTTCCTGCTCGGGGTCCTCATGGAAGACTGGACCAGGGCCGAAGGTGAGAGAATGAACAGGCGTCACATTTCCCTCTAGGAGCCATGTTCCACCTTTGACACCTGTTGACAGTACCTCTGTAGATAGAGCCTAGCCCCTTTTTGAAAGGCAGGCACATTAAAACATACATACAAACATATCTCTATATACACTACCTCAGCAAAGCTGAGATTTAATACAGTTTATATTTCCAAGTCTCACACTGAGGGTTTTTGTTGTTTTGCTTTTTTGAGACAGGGTCTCACTGCATAGTGCAGCCTGACCTCATGAAGATCCTCCTGTCTGCCTAGTGATGGGATTATAAGTGTGTTTGCCCACACTTGCCCAGCTGAGATACTTTATTTTGAAACAGGTGTAGTACTGACTGGCCTTGAACTCAGTATGTAGCTAAGGATAACCTTGAACTCCTGATCCTCTTCCTTCTGTCTCCCTTCTATCTACTGGGTTGACAGGTGGGTGCCACCATATCTAGCTTGCTTATCACTTTCCATTTTGAGATACTTTGCACACATGTATGTTCTGTGAATTTGTATGGCGGTGTGTACAGATGGATATGGAGACAGGAGGTTGATGTTCGTTGTCTTCTGTTGTACTTTACTGGTTTCTGTTTGCTGGTGCTAGAGATTGAGTCTCGCTGAAGTGTGCCATTTTGGCGAGGTTGACTGGTCAGCAAGGTCTAGAGATGCTCCTTCCTGCCCCTTCCAGCACTGGGATCACAGGCTGTCAGCACAGCAGCTTTGACACCCGCGCTGGAGATCCAGCAGGTAGCAAGCACCTGCCACTGAGCCAGCTCCTCAGCCCCAGATACTTAAAAATACAAAATTTCCCTTTCGTTTCCAGTCAGTAACAGAGAGATAGCAAGAATTGTTAGAAGACAGTAACATCAAAGAAGGGATTGTTACAGAATGTTTTAGTTCCTAATTGAAGATGGCTTCTTCCAGTATACTTTGTATAACAGTGTTATGATACACAGGCTGCCGTATGTTCAGTAGTTCCGGCTTTGTCATGTGCTGAAGTTTTCTTGTCCTTAATGTGCAGCAAACGTGGTTGATTCCAGCACTTGAGATATCCTGTGGTCCTATATTATCTGCACATTCTGGGAATTTCCAGGAGCATGCTCAGTGTGTCTCAAGTTCATATCTTCACTGTCCTTGAGAGTTTCTGTTCAGCTTCTTATAATAGAAAATTCAATATATGCAAAGGGAATGGAAAGATAAAAACGGATCTTCAAGCCATTACCTGATTTCAACTAGTATTATTTGCCTTTATTTCTATTCTACCTTTATCTCCTTGTTGCCTTGAATTTTTGTTTTTGTTTTTATAAAAATCATAAAGTGAAACTGATTTAGATTGAAATGTCAGACTCTTGACTACATTTTTTACCTCATAGCACCCTGCCCCTGGTAAGATCACTATAGAAAGTTTCCTCATGCTATGATTTTCTTTGAAATAACTGTACCCTGGCTCCCACATGCTGGTAAGAGCTGAGAAGCAGTTTCTGGCAAACACTTGGAGTAAGTGAGGCATAATGAGGAAAGCCGAGGGGAGGTGATGTAGCCAGTCCTGGTGCAGGAAGGCTGCTGTGCATCCTCTGCAGATTTGTCTGGGGCTGTTCTCTATATCATCTCCACTCCTGAAAGCCTTTGTTCCCTTCTCCATTCCTCCACACGTATGTGGCTTGCCTAGACCGCTTGTCTAGTGCATCTTCCTGGGCTTCTGTTTGCAAGGATCTTCCCCTTCACCATTCTGTAAGCTTATGAAAGCCTCCAGTACAGAATCATAGCAAGTACCTTGAGGGTTTATGTGACCTGGTTGGAAACCAATGACTGTGGGTTTGCTGCTTTCAGTTGGAATTCTGGCTGTGGCTGGCAGTTGCATTTGATTGCCAGGCCCTGGTGTATCACTGGCAGTGTGTTACTTTGGTCAAGGGGCTTCAGGGTTATAGCTTTTAGAGAAACAAGGTGTCATCCTGGAAGAAGATTCTACTGCCTGTCAGAAGTGAGAATGTGTGAAGTAGGAAGGGGGAACATTAGGAATTAGTCACTCTGAGAAAACCTGCCAATTTATAAAGGATTTGACCACGTGGGTGTTTTGCCCATTAGCCCAGCCTTATGTTAAACTCCTGGCTCTGGGATGCAGGGAATAACCCTGACATTGGATTGCTCTTGTGAGCAGCTAAGGTCTTCAGACAGGAGTCTACTGCTCCTTCCTCTCCCCCCAGCATGCTTCCTGCTGGCTCTGTGGGTCATGGATGGTTAGGAATGCAAGGGCCAGTCCAAGCTACTTAAAACCTTGTCTCGAAACAAGAGAAAAATAGAATAGTAACATTGGAAGGTAAAGTTGTAGCCTTCTTTGAAATGACCTACTGATGACAGGAAGCCTTTGGGAAGTGATTTTTTTTTTTTGCAGGGGAAAACAGCCTCCTGTTGCAGCTTCCCTGTGACCTTTCTAGTTTCTTTCTGCACACAAGTGCATGGTCTGTGACAGTCATCTCAGAGTTTAAGGTATTTGAATGTGTTTAGCCATTTCCCCCTACTGTAGCACGATCTTCTTTAAATGTTTATTCTTTCTCATTTCTTACAAATCTAAAATACAGGTTGATTAAATTCCCCCCATTAGCCTTTCTCATTCCTCCTGCCCTGAATTTACTAACTTACTTACTTTTTTTTTTTAAGACTATTCTAAATTTCCTCTGACAGTTTCATACATGGATACAGTATATCTCATACTACTCCAATCTCCCCTCTGCCCACCTCCTTAACATTATCCCCTTACCTTCATTTTCTTTCTTTCTTTCTTCCTTCCTTCCTTCCTTCCTTCCTTCCTTCCTTCCTTCCTTCCTTTCTTTCTTTCTTTCTTTCTTTCTTTTTTTTTTTTTGGAACCCACTGAGTTCAAAGGGATGCTACCTGAATGCTACAGGTGTGGGGCGATCCACGCGAGCACACACCACAGAACAATAACTCCCTCTCCCCTTGTCTCCTTTTATGTCTTTTTGGCTTGCTCCATTACTTAGTGTTGGTGTTTAGGGTGTTACCTGGACAATCGCGGCTTACCAGCGGCCACACCACTAAGAACTAGGACTCTCTTGAAGCAACATCTTGGTGACTGCCTTAATGATGGGATATTTGAAGCCACTCAGTTCATTTGTCAGAGAGAACGCATGAACTCCATAATGTGGCTTGGCATTTTTGCATTATACTGCCCCCCCCCCCCCCCCGGGAGATAGCTTTTCAAGGGTAGAATTACTAGAGCAAAAGGTTTTTTGTTGTTTTTCTCTCCGTTTTATCCAATTAAAATATTTATTCTTAAAAAATTAAAAGTTGGGCATGGTGGCACTTGGCTTTAATTCTAGCACTTGGGAGGCAGAGGCAGGTGGATTTCTGTGAGTTCAGGGTCAGCCTGGTCTACAAACTGAGATTCAAGACAGCCAAGGATACACAGAGAAATCCTGTGTTGAAAAACCAAAATAAAATAAAAATTATTTTAAGCTAGTTGTGGTGGTGTACATCTTTAACCCCAATCCTTCTAGTTCTTTATCTACTAGAGGGTTGATGGCCATGAGTTCAAGACAAGCTTCGGCTACATAGTAAATCTGAGATCAGCCCGGGCTATAGAGTAAGAGACTGTCAAAGATCCTAAACCATGGGTTAGAGAGGTAGTTCAGCAGGGAAACCCACCTGCCACCAAACCTGATGACCTGAGTTTGATCCCTGGGACCCAAATAGTTGAAGGAGAGAGCCAATTTCCATGTGTATTACGGCATCCTTGTTTGTGTGTGCATGTGCATAAAATGAAATAAAAATTCTAAAACTCAGAGCCTGTAGGATGCTCAACAGGTAAAGTTCTGGAACATGACTATCCCCAGTATTTACATTTTTACAAATTTACATTTATTTAGTGTGAATGGAGATTTGTTTATTTATATGTGTGGAGATCAGGCAACTTGCAGAGATTGGGTCCTTCCTCCCTCCCACCATGGGGGTTCTGGGAACAAATTTAGGTCACCAAGCTCTATTTTAAAGCTGTTCTTTTTTTTTCTTCTTATAATATTTTATGTATATATGCTGTACCTTGTGTTTGTATGATGAAAGAGTTTACTTTCCTATCTTAATGTCAGTAATTAATCTGTCCATATTTGCTAGCATGACTCTTTTGTATGCATGTGTGGTGCTGGACTTGAACCCAGGGCCTCGCACAGGTTAAGCAAGTGTTGTACCACTGAGCTACACACTATTTGTATCCATTTCTTATTGTTCAGGTATTTTCTAGTTCTTTTGTACAATATGGCTTCTTATTTCTGATGATGGCTCTATCTCCAGTGACGACTATGACTCAAAGAAACGCAAACAGCGGGCTGGTGGAGAGCCTTGGGGTGCTAAGAAACCTCGGCATGACCTGCCTCCTTACCGGGTTCATCTCACTCCCTATACTATTGACAGGTGAGTGAAGGCTGGGAGGGCTTCCGACCTGCACAGCAATGGTTTCTAGGGTACATGAGACATGGTCTATTTGGACGTGTGAGGATGTGTTTAGGCCGCCTCTTCGAAAACCAACCCATCCACCCGTGGGGACCTGCCACACACGGTTGGTGTGAATGCGTGTTAGTCAGTCTTGTTCTGTGTGCACGTGCACATATTTGTTCGTGTGTGTGGGTTCACATGCATGTTTGGGTGCATGTGCGAAGGCTAGAGGACACAGCTATCACCTCTCAGGTGCTGCCTAGCATTTTGTGGAGACAGGAGCTTCTGCTGCTTGGGCGTGGCTAGGCAGGCTCAGGTGTCCAGGCTGCTGTGCCTACCTCGTCAGCACCGGCACTGCGCTTGTGAGCCACCATGCCAGCTTTTTTTTTCTTTGACTGCTAGGATTAAAGGCAAATGCCACCCTACCTGGCCTTGTTCCAGTTTTGGTAGCTATTACCAGTTCTCTATCAGAGGCTATATCCACTTACACAGCCACCAGAAGGTCACAAAGTCCTTGTCTTCTTGTACCATTCACTGCCAAAACTGTTTTCATGTACCTTTTCTTTTTTTGTTGTTGTTTATGTTTTTTTGAAACATGGTTTCTCTGTGTAGCCCTGGCCGCCCTGGAACTCAGGCTGTAGTCCAGCTGGCCTTATACAGAGATCTGCCTCCCTCTGCCTCCCGAGTGCAGGTATGCCAAGTGTGTGCTGCCACCGCCTGGCCTTCCTATACTGTGTCATTGTAATTTCTCTGGTGAAAAGTGCCATTCTGATTTGCATTTCTAATTAGAAGTGAGTTTGATACTTTAAAAGCATGCTTTACATTTACTACTTTTTATGGGTACATATTTGCATGTTCATTTGTGTGGGCTACTGTGTGGAGGTCAGAGAGAAACCCTCAGGAGTTGGTTCTCTCCTTCCACCATATGTCAGTCCCAGGGACTGAACTCAGGGGGCAGAACCCTTTTTTTTGGGGGGGGGGTGTAAGACTGGGTTTCTCTGTGTAGCCTTGGCAGTCCTGGACTCACTTTGTAGACCAGGCTGGCCTTGAACTCCCAGAGATACATCTGCCTCTGCCTCCCAGAGTGCTGGGATCACAGGTGTGTGCCACCGCGCCCAGCCCCAGGACTCTTTTCACAGGCTTTCATGTCATATGTATTTATTTTCTTATCATGTTGTGTTTCATAGTTTTTCCTAGGCAGTTGAGCTTTTTTGTTACTGACAGTGAGTTGTTTATCACGACCACAAACACTTCTGGGCTGGGGTTAAGGGTCCATGCTGCTCTTCCGAAGGACATGAGTTTAGTTCCCAGCACCCTCATGAGGCGGCTCACAACTGTCTGTACCTCCAGCTCCAGAGGAATCTGATGCTTCAGGCCTTGGGAGCCCGCACACAGGTGCACGTATGCATACACAGATACATGTAATTAAAGTAAATCTTTAAAAAAAGACCATGACCATTTCTGTGATTTTTTTTTTCCTCTTCCCCAGTTTGACTTTCTTTGCTATGGAATTTATAATCGAGTGATAATGCGGGGCCCATCCTTACCCCTTGAGAGATCCCTCATTAGAATCTATTTCTCAAACTGAATAAAGTGCTATTATATAGTCTTTTGTGGTTTTGTTATTCACTTGTTTGTTGGTTCATTCATTCATTCACTCACTGTGTTACTGTATGATGGGGTGGGAGGTAGGATACATGCCTGCCAGTTGCACACATGTGAGTCAGTGAAGGCGGTTCTTTCCTTCTACCTGTATGGGTTTGGGGGATGAACAGGCTTGCACAGCAAACTCCTTTACCCACCATAAGTCATTCTGCTGGCTCTGCAGTTTTATTAAAAAAAAAATTTTAAAGGTTTATTTTATATGCGACTGTTTTGCCTACATGTATATAAGTGTACCACATGTGTGCTTGGTGCTTTTGGAGGTCAGAAAGGGGTGTCAGGGCCTCCAGAACTGAAGTTACAGATAATTGTGAGCTGCCTTGTAGGTTCTGGGAACTATGCCCAGATCCTCTATAAAAGCAGCAAATGCTCCTAACCTCTGAGTTAGCTGTCTTTCCAGCCCCTTCTTTAATGCTGAGTGTTTGCTCAGTGGATTCCCTTGCTGTCTTCCTGCAGTCCTACCTGTGACTTCCTAGAACTCCAGCGACGTTACCGCAGCCTCCTGGTCCCCTCGGATTTTCTTTCCGTTCACTTGAGTTGGCTGTCAGCCTTCCCTCTGAGCCAGCCCTTTTCCCTCCACCACCCAAGTCGGATCCAGGTGTCTGCAGAGAAGGAGGCAGCTCCAGACACTGGTGCTGAGCCCAGCCCTGTGGACAGTGACCCCACTTACAGTTCCAAGGTCAGTTGACTGGGCTGCTGTGACTGTCACCTTGCTGGGACAGAATTCGGCTGAGCACCTTGTTCTCTGCGCAGGTGCTGCTGCTCTCCTCCCCGGGCCTGGAGGAGCTGTATCGTTGCTGCATGTTGTTTGTGGATGACATGGCTGAGCCACGGGAGACACCAGAGCATCCTCTGAAGCAGCTAAAGGTAAGGGCTGGCTTCCTGGAGGCAGGATGTGCTGGCCGGCCACCACCTTTTCAGCAGCTGGGCTCCTGTGCAGTAACTAGAGACTCAAGTGTTTCAGAGCTGACGGCCCTCACTTTATGCAGGACAGTGTAAAGATGTTCCCTCTGAAGACGAGTCAGGTGGCTGGTTTGAGTGAATGGCCCTAGAGCCCCAGGTGGTGGCCCTAACTACTTGTTGCTGGCTCAGTTCTTGATGGGCAGCAGCCTTGCCTCACTGTGGGAGACGCAGGCCATGTTTCGTTATTCCAATCTCTCTGCAGTTTTTGCTGGGCCGGAAAGAAGACGAGGCAGTGCTGGTTGGGGGTGAGTGGTCTCCTTCCCTGGATGGCCTCGACCCCCAGGCAGACCCACAGGTGCTGGTGCGCACAGCCATCCGCTGTGCACAAGCCCAGACTGGCATTGACTTGAGCACCTGCACCAAATGGTGAGTGGCCTTCCCCATGTGGCCAGCTCGCTGTGGGGTGTCAGGAGCCTGGCTTCTGCCCTCTGGGTTCTCTCCTGCCACAGCTCCTGCCTGCCTACCCCTAACTGCTCATAGATGACTGAGAACTCAGGGCTGTGAGACTGATGGAAGCTGACACCTCAGCCACACCCAGTGCTCCTCAATGCCTTAGTGCTCCTACATGTATCTGCTTACTGTGTCGCCCTGTTGCCTAACCACTGAGGCTTTGGCGTGTGGCTTTATGTTTGTACTCACGGCTTGGCATGCAGCATGTGCGCATGGAGTGCTGATTGGAAACAGAGGTACTTGTCTGTGAGTGGGACACCTGTGAGGATGTCACAGTTGAGGACTTTATTTTCTCTTTGCTGTGAACAGGTGGCGCTTTGCCGAGTTTCAGTACTTGCAGCCAGGGCCGCCCCGGCGGTTACACACAGTTGTGGTGTACCTGCCAGATGTGTGGACCATCATGCCCACCTTGGAGGAGTGGGAGGCACTGTGTCAGCAGAAAGCCACAGAGGCAGCTTCCCAAGCCCAGGAGGCATTAGGGGTAAGGCTAAGTTGGAGGAAAATGCAGGGAAGCTGAGCATGGTGCCACAGGCCTGTAACTCCACCATGGGGGAGGTGGAGGCAGGAGGCTCCAGAGCCTGGAGTTGCTCTCATCTTCATAGTGAATCTGATATTAGCCTTGGCTACATGAGCCCTTATCTCAAAAGTAGGTGCCCTGACCTTAGGGCCCAGAGGGTCAAACCTGAGCTATTGTCACAGGAGGCAGAGCCTACTGAACAGGCCCCTGATGCGTCAGAGCAAGCAGCAGACACTTCTAAACAGAACACAGAGACAACGGAGGCCACCACACAACAAGATGTGGACACTGATCTCCCAGAGGCCCCTCCGCCTCCTCTAGAACCTGCTGTGATGGCACGTCTCGGCTGTGCCAACCTGTCTCTCCATGCAATTGTGGAGGATCGGAGGCCAAAAGAAAGGATCTCTTTCGAGGCAAGTGCTGGAGAGAGGTCACGAGTGTGATGAAGGGATAGCGCAGCAGCATGCTCGTCCTCTTCCCTGATGCCATGGTCCTTGCACCTCTTCCAACAGGTAGTGGTGCTGGCTGAGCTGTTTGTAGAGATGCTGCAGAGGGATTTTGGCTATAGGATTTATAAGACACTGCTGAGCCTTCCAGAAAAAGTCGTGTCTCCCCCTGAACCTGAGAAGGAGGAGACAGCCAAGGAAGATGTGGTCAAAGAGGAGGAGGCTGTCAAGGAGGAGGCAGTGAAGGTGTCCAAGGATGAGGTACAGAATGAGGGCACAGCTGCCGAGTCAGACAACCCACTGGTGAGTACTGTTCTCAGCCCTGGGCTGGCCTGAGGCCTACACATGATCATGCTTAGTGTGATTCAGGTCCCTCACGTGTCAGGCACCGTTTTAGGTACTTTGCACATCCAGTTGCATTGCTCCTTTATCTTACTACTCATTCTTTGGAAGCTGGGGCTGGGCTGAGGCCCAGGAAGATAAATCCCTGCATGTGGCCACACAGTTAGGAAGTATACCCAGAGCAAGTGGCCCAGAAGAGGGAAGGAGTGTGGCTAGTAAGCCACGGCAGCATAGAAATGCCAGTCCGAATGCCTAAAAGTTGGGATTGGTGATGGTTAGGTGGACAAACTGGTTTTTAGCCATTTCTAAAATGTAACTTGACTTCTTGTCCAGATATTTTCATGTACACATAATTGCTTCTACAACTAAGATTGCCTCCAGAAAATACCTCAGGGGTCAAGATGTGCCCCTACTGATCCTGGTATGAAAAATACCGATGAGCATGTGGTGGATCCCACAGCAGGCAGCACAACTAGTGCTCAGATACCTCAGTGTTAGCAACTGTTAGCGTTAGCAGTACACGGGTCCTGCTTCTCCTCACCATGCTGCTCTACTTCTCTAGAAGGAGGATGGGCTTCTGCCCAAACGGCCCTCTTCAGGGGGAGAAGAGGAGGAGAAGGCCCGGGGTGAGGCAGCGGAGGACCTCTGTGAGATGGCCTTGGACCCAGACCTGCTGCTTCTGAGGGATGATGGAGAGGAGGAGTTCGGTGTGTTTGGGGTAGTTACTCTCTGGGGCTGGCTGTGGTAGCTTCCTTTTAGGCAGTGGTTCTCAACCTTCCTAACGCTGACCCTTTCATACAGTTCCTCATGTTGTGGTGACCCCCAACCATAAAATCATTTTTGTTACTACATTTTGTTACTACTAATTTTGCTGTAGTTATGAAGTGAAATGCAAATATCTGATGTACAAGATATTTGACATGGAACCCCTGTGAAAGGGTTGCTTGAGCCCCAATGGGCTCTCAGCCCACAGTTTGAGAGCTGCTGCTCTTTGGGGTGTAGACCATCACCCTCGCTACATGTTGAGCTTGGGATTTCTGTAGCAGGATCAAAGCTGGAGGAAACGGAGGTTCGCTCTGTTGCCTCAAACCAGTCAGAGATGGAGTATTCTTCTCTTCAGGACATGGTGAGACCTTGCCCCTTTCTGTGCTTTGCGGGTGGGAACTTGCCCCTTCCTGGGTGAGGCATGCTACCAATGACCTCTTCCCTAGACAAGAGACCAACCGTGGTTCTTGACTCATGGAGAACACTCCACTCTCCCTGTCAGGGTAGATGAGAGAGATCTGATTAGGGAACAGGTCATGTTCTCCTGGGAATGTGCCCACAGCCGCCTGTGGCCCTTACACCTGAGCCTCCAGTTATGAGGTGCACCTGTTGCTGCCAGCAGCTCCTAGTCATGTGTGTACTGTGCCCTTTAGCCTTGAGAACTGTTTGTAAAGCCCATTTCTCTGTTTTCTTTGCAGCCTAAGGAGCTGGATCCCTCAGCTGTACTCCCCCTGGACTGCCTTCTGGCTTTTGTGTTTTTTGATGCCAACTGGTGTGGCTACTTGCACCGGCGAGACCTGGAACGGGCCCTCCTTACACTCGGGATACAGCTCAGTGCTGAGCAGGTAAGCCTCTCTTCTGCCCCCCTGCCCTTCTGGAGGGCCTTTGCAGAGCTCTTGCAGGCTTCTGGTCTCCCCGAGGCAGGTGTGTGGCCAGTTGGTGTCCTGCTGTGTTCTCTGTAGGCCAAGCAGCTGGTTAGTAGAGTGGTGACACAGAACATCTGCCAGTACCGGAGTCTTCAGTATAGCCGCCCCGAGGTGCTAGATGATGGGCTTCCGGAAGAGGTGCTCTTTGGTATGTCTTGTGCTCCGTGGCCTGCAGGGAGTGGGGCCATGGTGGGCCACTTTCTCCTGATACCATGCATGTCTCCTCTAGGGAACCTGGATCTACTGCCTCCTTCAGGGAAGAGCACAAAGCCAGGTACTGCCCCCACAGAGCACAAAGGCCTGGTGCCCCACAATGGCAGCCTCATCAACGTGGGGAGCCTGCTACAGCGTGCAGAGCAGCAAGACAGTGGCCGCCTGTACCTGGAGAACAAGATTCACACACTGGAACTTAAGCTTGGTGAGTGTGGTGTCACAGGGACTAAGGGGACACCACTCTTTAGGCCTCAGGCTTTCGTCCTGTGCTCCAGTTGACTGAGCAGAGAGAGCCTTTCTGCCATGTCCTCGCCTACCTTTCAGAGGAGAGCCATAACCGTTTCTCAGCCACTGAAGTGACAAATAAGACACTGGCAGCAGAGATGCAGGAGCTGCGGGCACGGCTGGCAGAGGCAGAGGAGACAGCCCGGACAGCGGAGCGACAGAAGAATCAGCTTCAGCGCCAGCTGCAGGACTTCCGCAGGCGCCTGACCCCACTGCACCTTGAGATGCAGCGGATGGTTGAAAAGGTAGGATGGCTGAAGGGCAGCCATAGTTACTTTTGATGAAGCCACAAACACTGCAGAGTGGAGCTAGCCTCTGGAGAGGAAGCTGGCCCTTCCTTGCCATGCTGGTCCTCCATCTGCTGGGATCTTAGGAGACTCGGCTGCTCCCCGTGCTCTGCACTCTAGTCACAGTATGTGGGAAAAGCCCCATCCTCATGGTTGTTTTATGTGCTCACACAGGCTGACAGCTGGGTAGAGAAAGAGGAGCCAACACCTAGCAACTGAGTGGCTGTCTAGTGAGGTCTGCGATGGAGCTGATGACATTTGAGCTCTTTTGGTACCTGAAAGCAGCTGGAGCAGGGCCTGGGAGCCACAGCAGGGGTGGCTGAGTTCTGTGCTCAGCCTCTGCAGGGGACATCAAGCTATCAGAATGGGGTTTGTGCTATGTGGATGGCTGTGTGAGGAACCCCAGTTCCAGTTACAACTAAATACAACATCTTTTGCACCCCTTAGAATGTCATTTTGCTCTCAACTTTGGAATTTCTCCCAGGGTCCCTGTAGTCTTGTGCTGTCTCCTGTCCTCGTCCATTTTAGAGCAAGACGGAAGGAAAAGGCTTTTCCAGACAGGAACAAGGTCTGATGCCAATAAATGGAAGGAATGGGCGTAGAGTCCGGTGAGGCCCAGAATGTCCTTCCTGTGGACGGCAGGAGTCTCACAGGCTGCAGTGTCCGTTAGGTGATGGAGCCCATGCTAGGAAGCACTAGGCGTTGGGTCAAGGTTGTCAGTAGAACACTGTGTTCCAGCTGCCCCCAACTTGCCAGAAGAACCAGCACTTCTTTCTCCAGCTCTTGTGTTCAGAATGTGGTATTGGCTCTAGCCTCGCCCTTTTTCCGTTTCCCATAAATCTTGCCTCTTTCCATAATCTGTGGTTTCAGTTTGACTTTGTATATAAAGTTGTTTGTTGGTATTTGTTTTTTTTTTTTTTTTTTTGCCTTTTTGTTTTTTAAATAAACCAAAGTCAAAAACAAACTGTGTCCCTGTAGCTCTTGTCTTACAGGCTGCCTGTGCCCTCCCTGCATGCCAATCCTCAGTTCTCTCCAGAAGGCAGGCAGGCAGTGACGCAGTGAGCTGCCACGGGTTGTGATTGAATAAAGTCCCTCTGCCAAGTTTGCAGGGCTCTGGCAAAGCTGTGGTGAATCCCCCATGGTGTCAGTTTAAAGCACACTAATGTTTTACTGGAAACTTTACTTGAAAATAAAATTCCAATAACAGGTGAGACACAAGCCTTGCTTTAAGGCCAGCGAATCAATGTGTGACATTCTGTATAGTGGACATTTAGAGACAAAGTCACAGTTCAAAGGAAAGTTAAACACTGGGGACTTGTCCCTGTGTTGGACCTGTAGCTTGGCTTGGGGGCCCACCACAGCTAAGGGACCTGCGTTCTGCTCTCCAGGCCACTGTGCCTCAACCAACAGTCTCAAGTCAACATGAGGGGATAATGGCTTTCCTAGAGTAGGTCCTCTGGAGGTAGACAGCTAAGGCCTCAAGTTCCATAGAGAGCCCAGGCCTTTCTAAAGGCTCCTGCTGGCCAGACTATAGCACACTCTGGACGGCTCTGGAAGTAAAAAGGCCCCTGGGTTTTTTTTTTCTATATTGCTTTTAAGCACTGGGCACAGGGAAACAGCAGCCTGTGAAGCTCCTAGTGCCAGGCTCATGGAAATGGAGGCATTTTAAAGTCTGAGAACTGGCAAGGCAGAAGAGTGGCTACCTGTTTCCAGCTGGCTGGCCATTGGGAGGTCCATGCATCCATGCCTGCCAAAAGCAAAGACTATAGAGATGTCATCTGTGTCCCAAGGAGCCTGAGGACTCCTGAGGAACAGGGGCTCAGTCATCAGCCACGATGGAGAGGGCTCGGAGCTCACTTAGTTTGGCCTCGTTTTCCCGCTCTCGCTGCTCATCTGAGTGGCCTGGCTGGTCAAGCTGCTGGGTCAGGTCTCCAAAGATCTTATGCATTTCTGAGTAGTACACCACCTGGGTAGGAGGCAAGAGTTGTTGGCAAGAACTGGACTCTGGTTCCACACAGCACCCACTCAGCAAAGCAGCCAAGAGGTACAAGCAGGGCCTGGTTCTGGGTCTATGGGCTGCTTCTGGCTGAAGGTGGTAGGAGAGTTCTCACCTACTCCATCACCACCTTCCAGATCTCTCACCCTGTCACCCAGCAGCCAAGGGATGGGTGGAACCACAGCTGAGGGTTTGGGAATGTCTACTGAAGAGAAAGATTAAGGCCTCAGTAGTAGGGAGTCAATAGTTCCATGGGGGGTGGGGTTGTGGTGAAGGAAGTGCTATCCTTTAAACCTCTGGCTCCCCCAAACAGTTAGTATGAGCTAGGCACTATGTATTTGAGAGTGCCAGGGAGTGGTGTGTGGTCAAGGGCAGACTTGGGGTTTACTGCCTTTTCTGAGCTAGGAGAGGAGCCAGGGGCCTTTGGTTATAGAAAAAGAACATGGCAGACACTCGCTCCCCATTTTGAGAGCTGTTTCTAGAAGTCCAGTTAGGGGAGGTGACAGCTTCCCAGACTCCACCCCTTCCCGTTTTTGCTCATTATCGCATCCAGGTTAAGCCGCCTAGATGAAAAGCACCACTGATGCTTAACAGCACCAGTGACATGGTGAGAGTGTCAGGGGGAGAGGTGGGAGCTAGGTCTGAGGGCAGAGGGTTTTCTCCAGATGAGAGACAAAGACTTTTCCACAGAGGTCAGAGGCCACTTCTGCCTCAGTTTCCACTTTCTGACATGATAGCACATACTCTTTGAAGTGTTCCACCTTCTTCAAGTACCTCAAATTTGAGATTGTCTCTAGGAGTCTCCTTCCACCTGAGAAACTGGAAGACAGTGCCTGGGAGCGTGGCCGTGCAGTAAGGGCCAATGGGAAGTGGCATCCTAGGAAGTCTCTCCCAACCCCCCCAGGCTGGGTTCCACTAGGCCAAGTATGGGGGGCCCCAATTCCTTTGCCTGGGCCAAACTGCCTGGTGAGTCACCAGGAATGCTCACTTCTCTAGTGACTAATAGCAGCAGCAGCCGGGTGAGGAGGAGGCTGGCACAGGGGCGGTGGTAAACAACCCTGGCTACCCTGCTGCTTAGTTACAGGGTACCCCATAGTCTGGGCACCCTGGAGCTTCCTCTGAGGATCTGGGGGTGGTCACTGAAAGCAGAAGCAGGTGTCATGGCAAAAGAGGGCAGGCCAAGACCCCCCCAATCCACTCCTCATCCAAATAGAGGGTGGAACAGCTAAGGCAACCCTCACCTGCAGAGACATGGTAACACCACCTCCCCCTTCCATTGTCTGTCTGGCTCCCTAGAGAGCACCGCACTGAAAATATGGGTCATTAGGAAGACCAGGCTCTAGTTCAATCCTTGCCTGGGTTTTGTGATGTCAAGCATTCTACTCCATGGCTTTAGGTGTCACCCCATAATGAAGGTTGGGAAGTGGAAATCAGGCTTTACCCAGGGCACTTGTGACTATGAAAGCAACAAGGAATGATGGTGTCCACTGGAGGGCACCAGAGGCGCAGGTAAGACAAGAAGCAGAGCAGGCAGAGCTTGGGGACAAGAAGCCTGAGCTTGGCGATCAATTAGTGTTGGAGTCCTGAGATGGAAGCCAGCCTAGCGCCTGTGACTAGTAAGGAGGCCCATGTGGAGAAGCCCTGCTCCTGGCTCTAATACCACTGCCTCTCCCACCTTGCCAGTGGGAAGAACAATCCTAGCTAAAAACTGCCTAAAGATGAATGGGTAAGGGAGGGCAGGGGCTTTCCACTGTCTCAGTGGCAGGAGACCCTGGGCTCTGGCCTGTGTTCTACCCTCTGACTGCTACCCCCAGAGCAGCCTGCCCTCCACCTGCCTTTCCACTAGGGGGCACATCATAGCTAGTGGCCAGCATCTCAGCCTGTTCAGGACCCTCTCTAGGAAGCCCAAAGTTAGGGCTCCTGTGGTCTCAGGCTAATGGAAGTCTCCTGTTGGGTCCTCAGGCAGTGGCTCTACAGCCCTCCCAGCCACCTCTGAAAAAGGCCCGCTCAGTTAAAGTGGTGGCTAAAGATGTAGCCTGTACTCTTGCTGCTTAAGCGTGGGAGGAAGACCTCAAGGGGTAAAGGATTAAACAAAAAGGAGCCCTGTCTACCACAGGGCTGGGATTAAGTGGATTGCCAGTGGAGGATGCCCAACAGAAATCCCGGCACAGTATCAGTGCTGGGCCCCAGGGTTAACTGGGGCACCACACGGATTCTCACAGTGCCCAAGGCAGGGAGGTACAGCTGTCTCTGCAGAGCCTGGCTATGTCTAATGGGGACTGGGTTCCTACAAAGATGATTTCCCAACAGAAGAGCCTTGCCTCACCTGTGCCCGGACCAGGGACTCAAAGCTGGGCTGGAAATAGTCAAGTCGGCTGCCGTAGAACCGTGGCATTTCATCCAGCAGCTGTTTGTTCTTGGCCTCAAAGTCTTCCCGTACAGGCCGCAGCTCCTCTCGGGCCTGGGGAACAAGACCCTGGAGTCAGGGCTGTGGGAGGAAGGGTGCGGACGGGAATAGCTAGTGTCCTGGTTCCGCTGGTCCTGGAAGGAGGTTCTTGTGGCAATGGTGGTTCTGTTTCCCCTGTTGCTTCTGGTGCTCCCCCGACCCTCCCTTCCCCCTCTGCACCTGGTGGAGCTTGGCCAGCACTGGGCCAGTCTTCTCTTTTTCCTCGTACTTCTCCACTTTGGCCTGCAGCCTCCTGTAGTCTTGCAAGGCCTGCTCCCGCCGTTTCACTGCCATGTTGAGGCTTGGGAATACGCTGCCAAACCTGTTGGGCACAGCCTGGTTGGAAACAGGCTTGTCATGTGGGGGTGTACCCGACAGTCACCGCTTACTCAGAAAGGTAGGTACAACACACCTACTATGTGCCAGCTCCATAATGCTCTGAAGCTCTGGGACTTGTGCTGATAGGATGATATGGGGGACAGCGGACAGGACTGGTGGCATGAATGAGAGGCTCCTGGCCCTGCTGCTGTCTCCCCACACACCCTGAACCTCACCACAGAGAACAGCAGGCTGGGATCCTCCTGTGTATGATAAAAACCAAACCAAAACAAACAGGGGAAGCCGGGGCCACAACTAAGTAGTGATAGTCCAGAAAGGACCATGGGCGTCCAAGTGCCAGCAACAATTCTACCACATGACAGCGATAAAAAAGAATGAGTTCCTGGGTAAGGGTTCCTTCCCACTGTGGGGAAACGCAAGTGCTATGGTTCTCCCGCAGGAAAAAAAAAAAAAAAAAAAAAAGGGAAAAACCACATTTCAGAAAGATGGTCTTAGCCCTGCCTATCCAACATGACTGAAGAGTATGGCATGGCCACTCGGGGGACTGGCCATTCAGAGAAGGCTGTATTTGAAATGTTTTGGCGTTCGAGTGTAACTATCATCACTAAGGCCACCTTTCCCCTAACAAAGGGCCCACTGTATCTTGGACAGGCCCAGCAGAGAGCCACTTTTGGGACCCAGACAAGAGTCAACCTTCTTCTTGACAAAGAGGAGATGGAGGTGAGGTGAGGCAGCCCTGCAAGCCGGTCTCTAGGGAGTGAGAAAATGGAGTAACTCCCCTGGGCACAGAGACTGGAGGGGTTGTGGCTGCCCTTGGTGCTGTGCAGGGCTTTCCTAGCACTCTACAGGGTGCCCACTGTGCCAGCCGGGAACTCAGACAGCCTGGTATGACATGGACAAGCAACCAAGGGAGTCAATGTCTCTGGTCACTCAGATAGAGACATAGCTGGCACCTGAAGAGTTAGCTTATCCAGGAGGGGCCCGGAGAGGGTGACAAAGCAAGCACACACCTCGGGGGGATGAGGATCTTTTCACTGGGAGCCCAGTCAGTGGATGAGGCCAGCCTTTCACATGCGCCAGAGCTGGGAGAGCATCTGAATGCTCAGGTTTTCTTCAGTAGGGTTCAGATCCCACAGGAGACACTATTCCCAACCTCTGCTTCTCATAGGACAGGATCATAAAT